CAAAAAATGGGAATTCCAGAACACTTAATTGTGCTCATGTGGAACCTGTACATAGACCAAGAGTCAGTTGTTTGAACAGAACAAGGGGATACTGTGTGGTTAAAATCAGGAAAGGTGTGCATCAGGGTTGTACCCTTTAACCATACTTATTCAATCTGTATGCTGAGCAAATATCAGAGAAGCTGTACTGTATGAAGAACGTGGCCTCAGGATTGGAGGAAGACTCATTAACAACCTGTGATATGCAGATGATACAGCCTTGCTTGCTGAAAGCAAAGAGGACTTGAAACACTTACTGAAGATTAAAGACTACAGCCTTTGGAATGGATTACACGTCAACATAAAGAAAACAAAATCCTCACAACTAGACCAATAAGCAACGTCATGATAAACTGAGAAAATATTGACGTTGTCAAGGATTTCATTTTACTTGGATCCACAATCAACGCCCATGGAAGCAGCAGTCAAGAAATCAAACAACATATTGCATTGGAAAAATCTGCTGTAAAGACTTTAACTTAAAGTGTTGAAAAGCAAAGATGTCACTTTGAGGACTAAGGTGTGCCTGATCCAAGCCAAGATATTTTCAATCTCCTCATATGCTTGTGAAAAGTGGACAATGAATAAGCAACACTGAAGAAGAATTGATGCCTTTGAAATATGGTGTTGGTGAAGAATATTGAATATACCATGGACTGTCAGAAGAACGAACAAGTCTGTGTGTCTTGGAAGAAGTACAGCCAGAGTGCCCCTTGGAAGGAACAATGGTGAGACTTTTCTCACGTACTTCGTACATGTTATCAGGAAGGACCAGTCCCTGGAGAAGGACATCATGCTTGGTAAGGTGGATGGTCAGCAAAAAAGAGAAAGACCCTTGCCAAGATGGATTGACAGTGGCTGCAACAATGGGCTCAAACAGCAATGTCTGTGAGGGTGGTGCAGGTCTGGGCAGTTTCATTCTGTTGTACATAGGGTCACTATGAGTTTGGAACCGACTTGATAACACCTAACAACAACAACGGAGACTGTAGTAAAGATTTTGAAGGGGAGTTCAGGATGCTTCCAAAGACTTTGGTATTTAACTTAGAAACTTATGCTTTCTCTAGAAACAGTACTTCTGTGCTATCAGCCATACTCAGGCTCAGTTTTGGCTCAGAGATGGAACAGAAAACAGAGTACACATAGATTAAGAAGGGTTTCTGAAAAAAGAATACCTGATGCTGACTTTAATTCAGTTGTAATGGTGAAAGGCAGAGGAAAAGGGGAACATAAGAGGCAGTATGGAAGCTCTCATGAGATTACAAAAATGTGTCAGCCTTCAGAAAGTGTCTTCAGTCTGGGTCAGTGTGACTGACTGTTGAACACTGTGAGGAGGTGAGAGTGAGAGATGGGCTTATCGCCCTACCTAAGACCCATCAATGGCTCTCTACTGTCTGTGGAACTAAATCAAAACTTCTTAGCTTGGCATTCAAAATTTTCTTTAGCTTGGCTGCAACTTACCTTTGAAGCTTTATCTCCTGTTTCTCTAACAAATTTTATGCTTCAACCAAACCAGATTATAGACCCTTTCCTAAACTTGCTGCCCCATATTTATACCTTTGGTAGCATTTCACCTACCTAGCATATCCTCTTACATTATTTCCACCAGCTATCCTTTTGGGATTAGAGTTCAAATGTACCCTCTATGCAGTCTTTTTGGATCATTACATTTGGGAATGATGTCAGCAGCTGTCATGGATTGAATTGTGTTCCCCCCAAAATATCTGTGGACTTGGCTAGGCCATGATTCCCAGTATTGTGTGATTATCCACAATTTTATCATCTGATGTGATATTCTTACATGCTGTAAATCCTATCTCTATGATGTTGAGTAGATTGGATTAGCAGCAGTTATGTTGATGAGGCAGGACTCAATCTACAAGATTAGATTGTGTTTTGAGCCAATCTGTTTTGAGATATAATAGAGAGAAGCTAGCAGAGACATGGGGGACCTCATACCACCAAGAAAGCAGTGCCAGGAGCAGAGCGCATCCTTTGGACCTGAGGTTCCTGCAAGGAGAAGCTCCTAGACCAAGGAAGATTGATGACAAGGACTTTCCTCCAAAACCAACAGAGAAAGCCTTTCTCAGGAGCTGGTGCTCTGAATTTGGACTTCTAGCCTCCCAGACTGTGAGAGAATAAATTACTCTTTGTTAAAGCCATCCACTTGTGGTATTTCTGTTAGAGTAGCACTAGATATCTAAGACAAGCGCCTACAGGATTTGCTTGTAACAAGCCTTCAGAATGACAATATTTAACACTATCTTGTGTTTCACTCCTTGAAACACCATCTTCCCTTGGTGTTCACACCTTATATTTTCCTGATTTCCCTCCTGCCTCTCAAGTTGCTCCTTCTCAGGTCCTTGGCAAGTTTAGCTTCCTATACTTGACTATTTTAAATGCTGAAATCCTTCAAGGCCCGTTCTGGACCCTTTCTTCTCATGCTATACTTTCCTTGGCCATCTCACCTATGACTTTTCTGAAATCCAGGGGCCTACTCAGTATCTTCACTTGGATGTCTCAAAGGCAATTCAAATTGAAAACGTATCTGTGCCAAACCTGCCCACTTCTAGGGTTTCCTCAGGCAGGTGACACCACCATCTATCCAGTTCCACAAGCCAGAAATGTGGGCACGATCCTTGACAGCTCCTCTTCCTGTACCTCTTTCTAAACCAAGCCCTGTCCATTTTACCTTTTAAATGTCTTTCTGGCCTGTCCTTTCTCCCCATCTCTACTGCCATTACCCCAGTCCTAGCTTCTATCATCCTTTGTGTGGACTGTAATAGCTTCCTTCCTAATTTTCCCACATCTACTCTTGCACCACTCTAATCTGTTCCCATACTGCACTAGAATGGTTTTTCAAAATGCAAATCTGGTTTTGTCACCCCTTTGTTTAAAGCCCTTCGACAGCTTTCCATTGTCTGCATGATCTCCCCCTGCCTCTTCCTCCAGACTCATCATGCACCATTCTCTTCCTGGGCTCCAGCTACACAATGGCCTCTCAGTCTCTTTGGTGTTTCATCATTGTGCCTTTGCACATGCAGTTTCTGCTACCTGGAGTGAGCTTTCCTACCTGTGTTGCCTAGGTAACACCTCCTCATCCTCTGTATCTTAGCTCAGCTATCACCTTTTTAAAGAAGCCTTTATATAAGCCCCGTGACAGTTCTCCCTGCACTACATCCCTTCCCGATTGCACTTCTTCCAGGTGATTGTGATTATCTGATTTGTTTCCCTCAGTAGCCTGCAAGCTCCAGGAGGGCAGGACCATATCTATTTTTGCTTTCCACTGTGTTCCCAGTACCTGATACAGAAGTTGCTTGATAACAAATGAGAACGTGAATGCAACTTTTGAGGACAGCCTTCTTTGAGAATCTAGATGCCTGCATAATGAACGGATGCATAAAATGTGTGTAAAACTAAAAATGCAGTGAAAAGAGAGAATGCACTCACTCATTAATTCAAAAATAATGTTTAAAGGCCTACCACGTCAGGTAATGAGTTAGAGATTGAGGATAACTTGCCGACTTTAAATCACATCTGTGCACGGTTATGCTTCATCTACATCCTGTTGGCTTCATTTTTATCTAGGCTATCCCCCCACTTGCCCATTTCAATCCTTTGTTTCCTTTCACCTTGGCAGGGCCACCCCTACATCCCAAGCAAATTTGGCCTGTCTGTATAAACCCTATGTCCCCTCCCCCTTTTTGATAGCATGTTAGCATCATTCTGGTGGCTGGGTATCACACAATTCCTCATAACAAATGCTGTGCTGGCCAGGGCGAGAGACCCACTAGCCAGGCTTCCTTCCTAGAACTGAGGCCTGACCACAGGACCCTGGGAAGACCTCTCAGACAGGAGTACCAGAGCCATCTGAGTGGGGGCATGGAGCAGGCTGGAGTGCACCTGAGAGGGAGCAAAGGGGAACACTGGGGCCCACTTGGTCTGGCCTGAGCTAGGAGCGCTCTCCTGGATGGCACTGTGGGCCTGGCCAGACCCAGGCCCCAAAAGGAGACTTCTGCTTGCCCAAGGCATGGCTGCTGCTTGGCTTTCTGGACACTTCATCTTCACATCTGAGCTCCAGGAGTGACCTGCAAGATGGCTGTGACCAAGAACTGTCCATTCTATCAGCAGTGCTTTACATGGAGCAGGTTCACCTTGGCATTCTGCTACGGGGATCAGAAGAAGCCAGCTGTCAGCAAGTGTTCCATCTTCTGTGCTGTCCTGCTCATCTTCCCACTAGGCAGTTTCAACACTATTCCTCTCCGCTTGTTTTCCTGGTTCTTTGACCTCCTTAGTTTTAGGCTCTAGCTTCTATTATTTGCCTCATTCTCTCCTTACTCGATGAGTCATTTGGGCCAATCCCCCACTTACCACCCTCAGGCCTGCCCTGTATCTCCCCTTGTCGGTCTCCTTGGAAGCGTTAGTTTGCAGAAGTTCCATCCTGTGGAAAGGTCGCCATGAAATCCAGCCCCATTCTGTTAGCTCTCTCTCCTAATCTAGTAACTGTGAATGGCTTATTCTGAAACCCTGATTGGAAGCTTCTGTCCCTGAGCAGAATTCATCATATCCAATTTTAAGGTGTCAGGTTATTTTTGCATTTTAAGGGTGGAGAAGGTAGTAGTTACTGCCCGAGCCCCGCGGTTTTAATCAGAGACCTGGCCTTCTAGGTCATTTACCCTGACCACCCTGGCATTTTCCATTTGATCCTTCGCAAGGACAGGGTAATGTATGAAGAGGATGGAACATATTTAATGAGTGTAAACTAATGTTTCTTTTTTCTAAACCAGTTAAGGAAATGTGGTAACAACTGTACCTCTCAGAAAAATTCTTCTTAAGGATGTATTCCCAAAGGCGCAGAGCTTAAGTGGATTCAGTGAACCTCAGGGTGTAAACGCAGGCTTTTCACTGGAACCCTAGACCTCAAAGACACTTTAGTTGTCAGTTATCACCACTACTCTCCATTGCCAGGTTGAAATATTTATTTGAAAAATTGAAAACACAGATGCAATGTATTATACAAAGAAAGATCTTAATACCATAATAAAAGTATTGTTGGAAGAAAGCAAAAGCCAGTGGCTACCTGCCCTGGGAAGGTAGGCACTCAGTGAAAAATGAAATTCTTTTATAGGAACTATTCTAATGGAAAACTGGGAGAAAGGTTAAAAACAGAACAAACCCAACCCCATCCCTGCAAACCTAAATGTGCAAGAGCTGCTATAAGTTTGAGACAATTATGTTATCCCCAAGATTTATCTGAACCTCTTCGGTTTGTCCCTATAAGTAGTAGCTTAATTTAGGGCCTTCAAACCTGAGGTAGTTGAGAGTCACCTGAAAGACATGTTGGGAAATCTCTACTCTCAGAATTGGACCCAACTGCATCTAACCAGTTGTTCCCATTGCTTTGGCTCCTGGGGTAAAAGGCAGTGCCACCACTGTGGGCTATTGATCCTTTATTTGGTGTGGACCTGGGAGACGAAGGAACCGAGCAGCAAACAGCCGGCAGGGTTTGCTGTGTTTATGGCTGACAGGCCCGTGGTGGTGGTCTATGCTACAGGCAGAACAGTCTCTGGAGGACCAAGGATGGCAGAGAGAGGGCAAAGCTGTTTAGCTGGAAGGCCAATGTTGGGACCGAAGGCTTCCATTGGCAGAAAGGATTTTCAGAGATTCGGAAAGATGGTAAAGGTAGCAAAAAATTTGCCAGTTATTAAAGATGGGGTAAAGTGGAGCCAACAGACCCCTCTCAACTAAGGAGCTGATGGAGAACTGAGAACTTCCAGGTGCTGGCTCAGAACCAGCTCCTCCTTAGGGGTGAGAGGCCAAAGCAAACTAACCTGACCGAGGGGACATGTCCTTGTGATCCCTGTGTTACCTGGTGTAAACCTTGGTAGCTGAAATAATTCCAAGAAAGGATGCTTTGGACAATGTCTGGTTCTTCCAGCTAGCTACTGGGTTAAGAACTCATGTTCAGGTGGGATCCCAGGGAAAGTACTCTGGGCAGCAGACTCTGTAAATAATCTAAATTCCAGTCTAAGTTAAACTCCTTGCTCCTATTATACTCCTTATTATGTACAAACATCCTTACTCTAGAGGTATCAGAGAGAGCACTGTATTATAAAATTAAATAAGAAATGCAGGTATACCTCAACCTCTTATCATAAGCCATTACTTTGTTGTCCTGTCTTGTTATGACCCATCTACACTCACCCATGAGACATGTTCAATTTTAGTCACTAATGATAGTTAAATGTGACTAAAAAGCTGTGAGGTTCATTTTTAGCCTTAAGATGTGATTCCTGTTTTAATCACACCAACTGTAACACACTCATTAAGAGTAACCAAGGTACGACATTTGATTTTGGCTGGAGAAAGGACTAGCTTCTCATCTGAGCTGTTATGAACCAATTTTACTACATCTGACAGATGTTTCCTCATGTGAGACTCAACTGGCCTCTGCTCGTGCTTAAGTGCTTTCTTAACTGTTCTACTAAGCCCACAAAGATCTTAGAAATTATCGAGGCTTCTTGTAAGAAAGAGTGTTTCAGCACAGAATACTAATCTGATCCAATATACTAGATGTCCCCCCCACTGGTAATTTGGAGCACAATAGTTTGAATGGCCAGGACTCTAGAAATGAGGATTAACCACCTTTGGAAATGTTGACCCACACTGAGAATACACTGATGGATTTAATTGACACAACTGGGTCAGAGAAGCCACCCGCCACTCCTCTGAGCTTCGGAATGGAAAAATGCTAAGCACACAGAAGCACTAAGATAAGACCGCTCAGTTTCTGCTGCTGATACCTCCTTAGCCCGGTATAGAGATCATACTTTTGAGTATAGTCATTTGAGTTTCTGGGAGACTGTTTTTTGAGTGTCCCACTTAGAAAATGCAGAGGGAGCTGGGCTGGGTTAGAAGAGGGGGTTTGTTTCACAGTGATTGAACAGGAGTCTCACAGCCGGTCATGTAGCAAAACTTAACATGTTCCTTTGGGACAGGTCCTGGGAAGTGCTTGTTGGCTACTACCTATGAATTGCTACAGTTAACGAAGGAAGACACTGTTTTTCCAAGATCGAAAGGTCACTTAAATACTGGGGTCCTCTGGGAGGTGGAGAAGTGCTGCCAGTCTGCCCATCTCTAGGAAGCTGTTAATGTGCCCTCTGTCCCCATCTAGTCAGCAGGGCAGCGAGAGCTGGGACTTGTGCTGAAAGGAGTCTGAGCCAGTGGTTACCTTTCTCTTCTTCCCTGACCCAAATGCTCTGAGCAGCCTGCTTGCTTACAGATCCAGCTGCTAACAGTCCATGGCATCTTGGCCTTGTTTCTGATTCTTGAAGCTGATGTTCTAGGGCAGCAATATGAGACTTGCCATGGTTATCCCTGAAGTCCTGATTGCTCAAAGCATCTTTCCATAGGCTGTGTGCTACTCAAAGGAGGTTAGTAATAAATACTAAAGGTACCAAACCAGGTAGGGTTCTTTCCTGATGGAGCAAATTGGCCTGATCTTCTGGGTCTGTTAATTAGGTAGAACATGGAACTTTTCTTCTTCAGATTCTAGAGGATGCCAAGGCAGACATTTGGGGAAAAGAACCGGAAATCCCTGACATGCTCCCTCTTATAGGGCCCTGGCTGGGTATGAAGGAGGCATGATGTGGCATGGGGAAGTAGTGTGGCTACTCTCATCAGCTCCATTCAGGTGTGTGCTAATTTTTCAGCCTGGTCATAAGGAACCCTAAGAAAGGGGTCTCCTGAGACCTGGGTTGTGTGCACCCTCCTTTCCCCTCTCGCTTTAGCCCTCTCACTTGGGAAGGTGGCACAGGCTCTCAGCTGGGGTCCAGCTTTAGGAAGGAAAGGCATTCGCTCTGCTTCTGCCTTTTGCAGAAAGCGGTCACCCTGCAGCTCTGCTCGGCCCTGGGGAGTGGCCTTGGCTGACCCTCACTCCCTCGGCAGGACACTCAGTGTGGAGGCTGATGTGGAGCACCAAGGTAAAGCCTGAGCAGCACCATCACTGTTAACTGCTGTGGTGTAGGGGCCCCTGAAAACTCAGCACTCCCAAAGGAGAGTTAGCTATATGAATGCAACTTTCAAAAATAAAACCAAAAATCCCAACCAATCACCATAAGAAGCAGTGGAAATCCATGGAACTGCCAAAAGAGGGGGAGAATTGCCTTGGCATTCTCAGCCAGGACACTCCTGCTGTTCTTCTGATTCAGTGCACATGTTCAGGGTAGTGTCTTGGTTTGGAATCCACCAGCCCTCTGATGACCAGAAGTTTGTGCAAATGATGAAAATGAAAAGACTGAGAAGAAAACAGAAAAGAAAATATATAAGATCTTTCCTTTCCAAGTCTCAACAGTACTACAGGCCCTTCTACTAAGGATACAGGTTGGTGTGGGCAGAATAAGGCAGGCAGGACTGGGATGGAGGTCCTCTCTCTTAGCCTGGGATCCCTCTGCCTTGGTCTTGCTCATGGGCAGTAAAGGTCAGATGGGTTCAAAACAGAAATGGTGTCATTTTGGAGTGGTAGTCTTTGACCTGAGGGTCACTGGGAGTGGTGTGGCTGCCACCGGAACTCCAAGGAGTTAGTCTGTAGCTGGGGGGATAACAAATACATAAATTGGTTCTAAGAACTTACACTCTGACGTATGGGGCATTGGTTTGGCTCTATTCTTTTTCGGCTTCTGCTCCTTGCAGTGTAGGGGGAGAGGCTTCTGTTCCTAAAAGTCAATAATTAGGCTTCATAGTACTTCCTTGCTTGCATGCATTCATTTAACCAACAAAAACTGCCACCATACGGGTTCTAAAATATAGCACAATGACAAACATGGTGTAATCATCTATTTCCAACGTTAAGTGTCCAAGTGAGACTAGGATATGTCTCTGGTTGGTTCCCAGAGTTAGTCAACCCCAACAAGAATTGACCATCTCAGTTGTGACTGAGTTGGCCAGTCTGGACATGCTGCAAAACCAGCACATGCAGACTTGTATGGTGGTGGGCCAAATATTACTCCATCTCTCAGCTCCTGACCCTTCTTATCTCCTGGCCATTGTTGCCCACCACTGGCTCCCACAGTCAGAACCTTGTAATCCACCTGCCCCTGTCTACTAGGTCTCCACTGACCACTATTTATTCACTATGAAACGCTATATTGGCCAGGAACTATAGGGATAAACCAGGCTAATGACCTGGAGGGGGATGGGAGTGAGTGAGTGATGACAGTCTACTGGTCAATGTTCACTGACAAAAAAAAGCTTTCAATTCACCACAGTTTACCCCAGGTTTAGGCTTAAAGACAACTGAAGAGACAGTATGTTCTGTGAACAGAGATGGGGAATTCATCGACCCGATGGACTCCTCATTCTGTCATGGTAGAGAGGAAGCCCTCATCACCCAGCTTCCTCTTCCTTCAGATGGCTCACCTTCTTCCCAGCCCTCAGCAACACCAGCAAGCTCATAATGCTTTTTTCGAAGCTCTCCCAGTTTTTGACGCTCCTTCTGCAATTCAGTTTCTAGCTCCAGCACCCTGACCTGTGGAGAAAGTAAATGGAAATTACTTTTGATCAGCTATCTGAGAACTATCTAATTTGACTTAATGCCTTTCCTCCACATTTGTTTTCTTCCATATTATTCACCTTGTTTCCATAGCTTACCCAGTTCTCAATTTCAACTCTCCTCTATGCTCTAATTGCTCTATTCTTATATTCATCCTTTTATCCCAGGGGCTGTTATGTTTTCTCACTGTGACCCTCTACTGGAAATGGATGATGCTTTGCAAACCCAATGCCTAATTGGGACTAGGGCTTCTCTTGTGTTTCTCTGATAAATCATGACCCAAAAACCATGCTAACGTTTAACCTACCTGTTCTAATCCAGTTGTAACCCTTCTCCTTTAATCGCAGTTCTCTAGAACTCCAGGTAGGAACCAAATATGGTGGTTTTGGTATCTCTGAGGTGTTAGTGCAACTTAGGGTTATTATTGCTACAGGAAAAGGCATGGACAGTTGTACTATTTCTGTTGCTGTAACTCAAGGAAAGATTGGTTCTTGGCTATCCCTACTCATTAATTTATTTATTAATTCAAGAATTATTTGCTGAGGACCCATCATGTACCCCAGGCTTTATCATAGGTGCTGGGACATAGTGGTGAACAGAAAAGATCTCTGCTTACCCACAAAAGGACGAGACAAAGCAACAAGAAAAGATCAGATCGTAAGGAAAACATCACACTGATGTGATAAAGACTAAGGGTGGTCAGCAAAGGCTACTCTGAGGAAGGAACATTTGAGCTAAAACCTAAGTGACCAGAAGAGAAATCAGCAGTTCAAACAACTGGGGATGAATATTCCAGGAAGAAGAAACAGCATGAGCAAAGGCTGTAAGGCAGGATACGCTTGAAGGGCTGGGAGAACAGAAATCCTGTATGGTTGATGAGAGAGAGGGAGAAGGTCATGAGATGAAGTTTGAGAACTAGACCAGAATAATTTCACCCAGGGCCCACAGGCTGGAGTAAGGAGTCTGGATATTCTCCTAAGTGCGAAGGAGCCATTGGAAGGTTTTAAGCAGGTGTCAAGGATTGAATTGTGTCCCCCCAAAATATCTGTCAACTTGGCTGGGTCATGATTCCCAGTATTGTATGATTGTGTAATCTGATGTGATTTCCTTATGTGTTGTAAATTCTATCACTGTGATGAGATTATACTGATGAAGTTTACAAGATGAGATAGTGTCTTAATGCAATCTCTTTTGAGATATAAAAGAGAAAAACGAGCAGAGACACATGGGAACCTCATACCACCAAGAAAGCAGTGCGCAGAGCAGAGCGCGTCCTTTGGACCTGAGGTTCCTGTGCTGAGATGCTCCCAGACCAAAGGAAGACTGATGCATCACAAGGACCTTTCTCCAGAGCTGACAGAGAGAGAAAGCCTTCTCCTGGAGATGATGCCTTGACTTTGGACTTGTAGCCTACTGGACTGTGAGAGAATAAAGTTCTCTTTGTTAAAACCATCCGCTTGTGGTATCTCTTCTAGAGCAGCACTAGATGACTAAGACAGCAGGAAAGTGACATGTTATAATTTATGTTTTAGAAACAGGTGGAGAATGAATGAACTATAGAGGGACAAAGAGTATCTTTTAATTTTACTATGGAATATTAAAACATACACAGAAGCATGGAGACCAGTACAGTGAACTATACACCCAGGTTTGCACCCAGCTTTACCAATTATCAACTCACAGCCAGACTTGGTTCAGCTAAACTCGTTCTTATTCTCTCCACCCTCCCACAAGATTGTTTTGAAATAAATACTCACATACTTACAGTAAGGTAAGTTGCTTTTATAATAGTTCAGGAGAGAGACAATGGTAGCTTAGACTAGGGTGGGGAGATGGAAAAAACGTGGAAGGATTCAGGCTACGTTGTGGAGATTTAGAGTTGATAGGACTTGCTGATGGATTGGATGTCAAGGGTGAGGGAAGGAGAGAAACCAATGATGACTCAAGCATCCAGGTAGCTGGTGGTACCATTTACTAAGTCAGAGAAGATAGGAGAGGGGAAGATTTGGGTGGGGGAGATCAAGAGTTATGTTTTGGACATGTTAAGTATGAGGTACATATTGGGCGTCTAAGTGGAGACAGCAAGTAAGCAGTTGTCTAAATATGGAGCGCAAGGAGAAGATCTAGGCTGGGGAGAAGAATTTGGTGTTTATCAGTATATAAACCCAACCAAACCCAAACCATTGCCATGGAGTCAGTTCCAGTTCATAACGACCCTATAGGAACAAAGCAGAATTGCCCCATAGGGTTTTAAAACGATGGTGGATTCAAAACAATGACCTTTTGGTTAGCAGCTGAGCTCTTAAGCACTGCACCACCAGGGCTCCTTATCAACATACAGATGGTATTAAAGTCAAGAGGGACTGGATGAGACCACTAAGCAAGACAGTGAGATAGAGGACTCAGGACTAAGCTCAGTCCTTTCAGTATTTAGACAGAAGTTCGGCCACATAACTTTTCCTAAATATGTTAAGTGACCCATCTGTAGACCTTTACCAGTCCAAATCTGGATTCTGTCCCAAGGCTGATGACCAGTAATTCTAGAACAAGTATGTCAGATTTTTTTCAGTATCCCATTGATTCCTATTTTCATGGCATAACTTTGCTGAACAACTGAGAAATTGCCTTTGATAAGCTAACAGTGGCTTGATACAATTGTTCTAGAATTACTGGCCTTGGGATAGAATCCAGATTTGGATTGGTAAAGGTCTACAGATGGGTCACTTAACGTTTCTTTAAATTAAAGGTCATCACAAATAATTCACATTAAAAAAATTATGTACAGTAAGACTATTAAATAACCACTTGTGGACTACAAGGAGATCCCTGATAACATTCAGAGGAACACTAGTCCAAGACTAGAGGGCAAGAGTTAAGATTTTGATCTTTACTGATCACCTCTCTCTACCTCCAGTATTTCTTCCAGCAACATTTACATTCATTCTTGGGCTACTAGGTGTAACCGTGTTTATCCCCCCTTCTCCTTCCAGTCTCTCTCAATGGCTCTTCTCCATGGGAATAATCTTTGGGGTCAATGTTTAAGGCAATAGAGACTGACTAGAACCTAGAGATGGAGTTCCTACCTGGGAATCCATCTCTTGGCGTTTGATCTGGGTCAGCGTCATGCTTGAGAAGTCCATATTGTCTGCAATGAGAAATGAGAAGGCCTTGTCACATAATATCCCTGGCTAACTCTCGCCTGAGAGACGGCTAGTGTTGGCCTCTGCTGAAATGCTTGGTCTGGCATTTGCCAACACACAGCATTAAAGTAACTGAGGGATGAAGAGGAAGGAAGATGCAGTTACAGAGCAACCAGGATCAGATCTCCCTACAGGCAACCTAGGCTGTAGATATAGTAATTTCTTTGAATTCAGAAAAATAGCTAACAGGAAAATTTATTTAAGGGCCTGTCACCATAGCGATACAAGCAGCATGCTTATGTGGTATCCCACCTTATAAGTATGAATGTAAAAAGATGATACCTAAGAAAGAACTTAGAAACAAAACTGTGGGTACTTGGGATCATGGAGGGGAAGAATGTAACAAGAGCTAAAAGGATGGATAAGAAAAGCATTACTTCAGAAAAGCTACCTGTTTCCTCAATCTGTGATTTGCCAGAAATGGTTGAGGCCACGACCCCGGCAGTTGCCTGGCTTACTCCCCGAGAGGCCTGCTGTAGCTGGGCAAGGTTCAGGCTGTCCTTATCAGCTTTCACCTGTCATGACAAAGCAGATTTAGGTTCACACAATACAGAGCAACAAGGACTGAGTCAAATAGGTTGGCCTGATGGCTCCTGACAAATCTGTGTGGTTCACTGTCACCAGTCAACTTCTCAAAGATTGCTGCCTACATGGTCACCCTTGGCATGTCACTTAATAATAAAACTATTCCTGGCTTTATTTGCTTGGTGGCCCCAAACTCTAGCTTCATCACTGATTCTTTTTTAAAATATTTTATTGTGTTTTTGGTGAAAGTTTGCACAGCAAATTAGGTTCCATTTGACAGTTTCTTACAAATTGTTCAGTGACATTAGTTACATTTGTCACAATGTGTCAACATTTTCTTTAATTGCGTTGTTGTTCCATTTCCAGTACTCTGGTTTCCCTGCTTCCTTACCTTCTCATCTTTGCTTTAGAGTAACTGTTGACCTTTTGGTCTCATACGGACATTTTTTTAATGGAGCCCCGTACTTACGTATAATATCCTTTATTTTGTGTGCCAATCTGTTGTTTCACTAAAAGGTGACCTCAGGGGATGGTTTTGGTTCAAGGTTTAAAGAGTATCTCAGGAAGTCCTCTAGTCTCAACTGGTCCAGTAAGTCTGGACTTTTTAAGAATTTGAGTTCTGTTCCACATTTTTTTCCCATCTATTGTATCCCTGATCAGAACGGTAAGTAGTGGTAGCCAGGCACCATCTAGTTCTTCTGGTCTCAAGGTAGATGAGGCTGTGACTTGTGTAGGCTATTAGCCCTGTAGACTAGTTTCTTCTCTGAGATTTTGGTTTCCTTCTTTCTTTTTTGCTCCTTACGAGTAGAGACCAATAGTTGTATCTTAGATGGCTGCTCGCAAACTTTTAAGACCCCAGACACTACTCACCTCACTATGATACAGAACATGAACTTTGTGAACTATATTATGCCAATTGGAAATCCTGGTGGTGTAGTGGTTTGGAGCTACAGCTGCTAACCAAAAGGTTGGCAGTTTGAATCCACCGGGCACTTCCTGGAAACCGTATGGGGCAGTTCTACTCTGTTCTATAGGGTCGCTATGAGTCGGAATCAACTCAATGGCAACGGGTTTGTTTTTTTTTTATTATGCCAATTGACTGAGCTGTCTGATGAGACGAAGCCTTCAAACCCAGAAAACCAATCTTGCAAGGTGTTTATGTCTGAGAAGTATCTGTAACTGTGTCCTCTGTGAATATATTCGTGTGCACACACATTATCTGTAGGTACATGTACATATAGATACTTCTATTTATGCAAACATATGCGCTCACCTGTACCTACCCGTACACATATATGTCTATACACCTACATATGTGAGTATACACTCAAATGTTGGTTATTGTTGGTGTTGTTGCCAGATCATATACGTCATATTCTTCAACACAAACATCCTTTTCTCTTGTGCAGTTAGTGGCATCATTTACTTTGGTCAAGCTGTGCTCACTACACTCACATTTGGTGTTACTTTTCCCATCACCAAATATAACAAGCATCTACGATCTAGAGAGTGAATTCCCCTCCTCCCTCACTTATCCCTGGTAATCACCAATAAACATTGGTCTCTCTCTCTCTATATTCTTGTCTTCTTATAAAAGTGGGATCATACAATATTTGTCCTTATGTGATTGACTTATTTAACTCCATTATGTCCTCCAGATCCATCCATGTTATATGTTTCACAGACTCATCACTGTTCTTTATGGTTGCATAGTATTCCACTGTATGTATGTACCATATTTTGCTTATCAATTCATCCACTGAAGAGCACTCAGGCTCTCTCCATTTTCTTGCTATTGTGAATAATGCTGCAATGAACACAGGTGTGCATATTTCATCACTGATTCTGATAAACTGTTCCAGTTGTGAAAGCCTAATTTGGAACAGCAATAAGTATGATAAAAGAATACTCACTGCAGTACTGTAAGACTCCCCGAGAGGATCTGGGTTACGACCATTGCATTAGATTAGCTGGGGCATTTGTTCAAACTTGGAGACTCTTGAAGAGGCAGATATTGGTTGTGGAACCTTGCAGCCGAGCCAGATAATCTGTTTATTGTGCGGACATATTCTTACTTGAGCTCTCCTTGAGTGCTGTGATTGCTAATCAGAAGTTGGTATGGCTGGGACCCTCAAAGGTGGCTTCCAACAAAAGTGAGAGGAGCCAAGAGGAGCTCATGGGGTGAGGTGGGCAGAGGGGCTCCTTGGTGACAGATGAAAGGCTTTTAGAGGAGAGCAGTGTGGGACAGGAGCCCTGGTGGCACAGGCATTAAGTTCTCAGCTGCTAACCAAAAGGTTGGTGGTTCAAATCCACCAGCCACTCTGCGGGAGAAAGACCTGGCAGTCTCCTTCTGTAAAGATTTACAGCCTTGGAAACCCAATAAGGCAGTTCTCCTCTGTCCTGTAGGGCTGCTATAAATTGGAATTGATTCGATGGCAATGGGTTTTTTTTTTGTTTTTTTTTTTTTGTTAAGTGTGGGACCCTTGAGAGGTGGAATTTTTATCTGGGATCCAACCTCCCTGGACCCTAGAGAAATCATCTGTTTTGGGGATCAGCTTCACAGTACTAGTATTCTCTAATCTAGCCAGGTCTGACAGTGTCCTCGGGATTCCCAGGTGGTCCTACCTTGGATGCAGCCACAAGCTGAGCTGTGCTAGCAGCAATTTCATGGGAACACACCATGAGCTCCTCGAATTTCCCTCTGCCTTGTACCACCAGGTCAGCGGCATCCCTGAGAGTCAGGAGAGGATAAGATGGACTGTGTTACTGACAGCTGCAGGCCCTCTACTCCCTCCTCTAGCTCACTCCTATCACACTGGCTAGACAGGAAGGATGCATGCCAGCCCTGCTCCCATGGCCCCAGGAGACCCAGGCTCCTTTGCAAACTTTTAGTCTATTCACTTCCTTGATCAACAGTTCATTTCAAGGGGGCAGATTTTTTTCCCTCAGCTAGTCTCTGGGTGGACCAATGGAAGGGGATGGGGTGAGGAGCCCCGGGACTGACAGACACTTACACCATGACGGTGGCTCCCCAGCCTACAGCTTTGGAGGCAGAGATGAGTCCTTCTGTCCATCGAGAGTTCTTGGCATAAAACTCTTTAGGGGATGCTGTACCCTAGAGAAGTGAAAAATAATCATAGCTGCCTTTATTGAGTGCCTACTGTGTACCAGGTGCTCTTACACACATTATCTCATATAGTCTTCACAGTAACCCTGAGAGGGAAGCATTATTATTCCCATCTATTGGATGAGAAAAAGAAATTCAGAGGCAAAATACTTTTCCCAAGGTCATGCAGGAAATAAATGGACATAAATACTAGGTTTTTCTGCCTTTAAAGCCCATAGCATTTCTATTATAACATTTCTATATTGTATATATAAGGGACAAAAATATATGGATAACTTATGATCTGGAGGGAGTCTAGCCACTCTCTCTGATTTGCCAAAAGAGGAGAGTACACAGTGAATACTTTTTAAAAATTATTTCCACTTGGATTTAAAATAGGCTTTATGCTTTGAAAGTGTCTGATCATCTGAGAGTCTGCAGGTATGCCTTGCTTAGTTCCCTTTTCTATTTTGGGGATAGAAAACATCACCTCTCAGACTAATAAAAAGCATCACCAAAGTGAATATGGCTTCTCTGTTTACAGAATTGTTTTCTGGCTCAGAGCCCCTCCCAGGACCTCTGTCTCCTGAGCTGCAGCTGCAGACAGACTTGTGAGGAACAAACAGCAGCGCCGGCAAAGGAGTGAGACACTGAAGTGACGATGCTGACAAGAGTCTGTCTATGAATAGCTGTGAGGTGACTGCTGGTGGCAAGGGACATAACAGAGCCTGCTGGGAACGTTCCATAGCAGAGGACGGTGCCAGATTTGTACTACTGATTTGCCCAGTTTTCTAAAGTTGCCACTTATTCTTCAGAGGGCCAGACTAGCACTGTAAGTGGGGCTCCAGAGGAGGTGCCATCAGTGTCTGCCCTGGGGAAGTGAGTCTACAGCTGGCTGCTCTCTAGGGATGTGGTAGTGCCATGGCACCTACTAACATCCACTGGAGTGGCAGCTCGTCTCTCAGACAGACACACAGGATGTGATGGCAGCATAACCAGATTTCACTGAATTTGGATGAGCCATATCAAGTAGACTTAGCCACTCAGTGAACGGGGAATCTATAACTGATTTCTGTTCTCCTTGTCTGCAGGCCCGCACCCATGCTTACTGTAATGGTTTGAAATGTGTCCCTCCAAAATATGTGTTGGAATGATAATCCCTATACCTATAGATGTCATCTAATGTAATGCAATCACCTTCCATAATGCAATCTACTGTAATATATTCCATCAGCTGAGGTCATGCCAGTGCAGGGTAGATCCTAAACCTAATCACTTCTTAGTATATGAAGAGCAGCACGGACACAGAGAGGAGTCCCTGCGTGGTTAAGTGCTGACTACTAGTCAAAAGGTTGGCAGTTTGAACCCATCCAGAGGCGCCTCAGAAGACAGGCCTGGCAATCTGCTTCCAAAAGGCCGCAGTCTTGAAAACCCTGTGGAGCAGTTCTACTCTGCACACACGGGGTTGCCATGAGTCAGAATCGACTAAACAGCAACTAACAACAACACAGACACAGCAAGCAAGGATACAGAGGGGAGGACAGACGCCACGCGAGGATCACTAAGGAACCAAGGGGCTACCGAGAAGGAATCCACACGGCCAAGACCCTGATTTAGGCTTTTAGCCTCCAGACTGTGAGAAAATAAATTTCTGTTCTTAAGGCCACCCACTTGTGGTATTTGTGTGACAGCGGCACTGGGAAACGCAGACACTTACCCTGCCACTTTCCACAATCTCTCTCTGGAGGTCCTTGGAGGCCACAATCAGGACCTGGATAGCTTGCATCAGGCTGGTGCAGGAACCGAGGATCCTGCAAAAGAAAGGCCAGGGGCAGAGAGACCACCAGCAATAAAGACTTCTGATCTTTTTCACCCTTAAACACAGGCAAACTTGGAACGGGAAAGGGAGGCAGGGAAGGAGCTGGAATTGCTGGAATGCTCTGAGGGTAAAGCCCTGAAGGAATAGAAGACTTGACTGTGGATCTTCTTCATAAGGACTATGTAAGTGATAACTCTTGGGGTTTCTTTATCCTTATAATGCAGTAGCAATATTATTTCCATCATTAATACTGCTGTTGACAATTATATAGACTCAGGCCATCCCTGTGGCTGCTACCGTTTGGTTCTAATTCCCTAACGGGTATGTAAGTATAATCCAATGCAAGAAGACCTCTGTTGGCCACCTAGTTGCTACCATGTTACTCAGACTGACCTTTCGTTCACCTCCAATTTGACTCCTGTGTCTCCTGCTCGTGATTTGCTGAGCATCTCCTGTTAAAAAGAAGCATGGTTTCGAAATACGGCACGGGTACTGAGAAACCATGATGTACTCCACACTGAGCCCAGCAACCTGTGGTAGCTGAGAAACCTCAATCTAGAAGTACTCATCCAAGTCCTCGAGAGAGTCAGGAAAAGAATCCAGACCTCTGCTCTAGTTGGGCAGAATTCAGTTACAGCAGGCTGGCTCTGTCATCAGCGAGGGCCTTAGAGGCAGGTGCTCATACCAAGGCGGGCAGCTTAAGTCTTCCAGTAAAGGAGTGATATATGACCTTTCAAGTGGTGTCCCGCTCAGCTTTTCCCAAGACAACTGTTACCACTGATTAGGAGTACCACTGATTAATTGAGCGCATAGTCCTGAGATAAATGTGCATTATCTCATTTAACTCTTACAACATCCCTATGAGGTAAGTACTATTATTATCGCCATCATTTACAAAGGAAATCTGAATCTTAGCAAGGTTAATGTAACTTACTGGAAGTTATACAACTAGAATCTAGAACTCGAACCTCGGATAGTCTGACACCAAAGCATCTTACTCTTAAGGAAACTGCTTACCTTCCTTCAGTGAGGACCTCCTCATTTTCTCTCTCTCAGAGAATCCAGTGAGTTTGGGCTTTGCTTTGTTCTGTGGGGACCTCTGTAGCCTTAGTGAATGACTGAGATACTTTTAATGGGCAATGATACCAAAGGGCTGCTGCAATGGCGTCAGCTGAGGAGGCCCTGCAGCAAGCCCCATACCTCAATTCTGGCTGTAACGGCGTCAGCTGAGGAGGCCCTGCAGCAAGCCCCATACCTCAATTCTGGCTGTAGCGGTTTCAATAGCAGCAGAAGTGGCGGCCATCTCCTTGTCCACCAGGTCCCCCAGCTCCTCCTGTCTGATATCCAGGCCTCTGGGTAAGAGCTCCTATAAAAAGTGTGACATGACCCTTGGACCTCTATATTCTTCCTTGGCCGACTTACAACCTTTACAGGGTGGCAGAAGGTAGGAGGGCCCCCACCATGTAACACTTCTGCAGGCCATGGAGGGATGTCATTCGCAGACCTCATCTGGTAGTCTCTACAATGTTCACTCTGGAACCTCAGTTAGAATCCACCTCCTTCTAAAAAGCCATTCCTACCTAACCCCATAAGCTTATTTAGCTGCAGCTACTCAGGCCCTGACCACACAGCAGTTGACAGTGTCAACTGTATTTGCTGCTTGGGAGGTATTTTAACAACTCTTACAAATATGTATGATGTCTCCCAACCAGACGGTCTGTCCCTTATTTAACTTTGTTTCAACAGCAATCATATGAGGCAGTTACTCTTCCTATTTTATAGACGGAAGCCAAGGCTCAGAGAGATAAAATGTCTTGATCACAGTTAGACAACTAATAAAAGGCAAAGGAGGGATTTGAACTCAGGCCTGTCTGATTGCAAAGTCCATGACTTTTAAAATGTTACATATTATACATACAAGAGTATAAAATACATATGACTAGTTTAAAGAATGAGAATAAAGATCCATGTTATCCACCACCTAACTTTAAAGAAACATCATCCGTACCTTTGAAATCCCCTTTGTATCCTCCCGACTCATCACTCCAAGATAAACATAGATTTCAGGAGAGTGGTTTTCATGTCTTAATATTTTTTAAAAACAGCATATGGATGCATCCTTAAACAAAATCTTGTTTGCATGTTTTGGTTTTTATATAAAGGGAATCATACTGTATGTCTTTTTCTATGACTTGCTTTTTCACTCAACATTCTACATGTGAGATTAATCCTATAACCCAGTAATTCTATAACTAGGTATACACCCCAGAGAAACTCTTGCACATATACATCGGGAGACACACATAAGAATGATCATCATTGCACATTCACAATAGCTCTAAAATGGAAATAACTCCAATGTCTATTAACAAGAGAACAGCTATAAATTATGATATATTCACACAATGGAATACTACAGAGCAGTGAAAATGTATCAATGTGGGTGAAATCTCATAAACAGAATGCTGACTGAAAAAGCAAGTTGTTAGAAGAATACATACAAAATGATTCCATCTGCAAAACATGCAAAAGTAAACATTATTTAGAGGAAGAAAAAAAAAGGGACATGGTCTATTATCTTCTTCTGGAACGGATTAGATCTTCTATTCCTCCTTGTCTCTTAACCTCTGATTCATCTTATAAAATCTGTGTCACGTTCTGTGCAATTCCTTCAACTATATCATCCAGTTCACTAATTCTTTCTTCAGCTTTGCTTTAATCTGCTGTTAAACCTGTATACAGTTATTACTTTCAGTGATTATATTTTTCATTTCTAAAAGTTCTATATGGTTCTTTTTTGATTAGATCTGGTTACTTTTGAAAATATCTTACTCCTCTGTTATACTTTTAATACCTTTTATTAATTCTTTAAACATATCAAACATATTTATTGTGACTTATATTCCTTGGGACTTTATCTTTAAAAACTTTTTGAGGCCTAGGTTCAAAGACAATTTGGATCTGTTTCTGCCAGATACCTGACACCACAACCTGACTACTTTACATTTAATTTTCAATTTGGGATTTTCATGCCAGACAGGGTAGTTATGAGATTTCGGTCCTGAACCCATGTAAAGGTGGCTTGTGGTTAGGAATTCTCTAGGGAGCTGTGTTTTCTTCTCCTCTTCCCAGAACTAAGTTTGAAATAAGGTCTCCCCTTGTAGGGCAGAGGAGTCCCTGGGTGGTGCAAACGGTTAAGCACTTAACTACTAACCAAAAGGCTGGTGGTTTGAACCCATCCACTTCAAATCCACCTAGAGGTGCCTCAGAAGAGAGGCATGGTGATCTGCTTCCAAAAGTTCACAGCCTTGAAAACCCTATGGAGCAGCTCTACTCTGCACATGTAGGGTTGCCATGTGTCAGAACAGACTCAATGGCAACTGGTTTTTGGAGGGCAGGCTTTTCTCCATGCATTCGATTCAGCTGTAATCCTCTGGGGCTCCTCTCTTGGCAGGGAAGGTCTCTTCTATCCTACTCGGCCCTAGGTTTTGTTTCTTATTCTCCTCTGTATGTGTGGCCCATAAAATCTGAGCTCTAGGCCACCAGAGATGGGCAGACCCCCTCCCACAGGACAAACCCTGGCTCTAGCATCCTTTTGGTTTCCGATTCTACGATTTCCTTAGTTTTTATCCATTCAATTAAGAAGATCTCTTTTCCAAATTGCATCCATCATTATAAAGCTCCTGTGCTGGAAAGACTTCTCTGAATATCTCGTCAGCCCTACTGGCAGAAAGAAAGCCTGCTCATGGTCTTTCTGCCACATCTTGTATTCTTATCAGTGGAAAGGGCTTTGTTTTCATTAACTTATGTTTTTATCTCTTCATTGTATCTTATATACTTTGAATCAAATACTGACTTCTCAGTTTACCTAATACAGTGAGAAAGATGTTCTTTCTCTAACGAAAGCAGACTGTGGTAATGCTGTCTAGGCCACCACCCCCGGTTTAATACTACTAAAATGTCACTATTATTAAGAACAAAATTTTTGATTTCCCATTATCCATCATCTTTCTTCATCTAGACATCCAAGTTCTCCAAAACCTCAATGTCCATTTCTCCCCTTGTACCTTCCTATCAGATCCACCTTTTTATCTTTTTCTGCTCTCTCCATGTGCCTATTCAATTTATCAAACACTTGCTGAGTGTTTATCACCTGCCAGGTAGTTCTGCCAGTGACCAGGAATACAGCATGAATAAGATGTGGTTTCTATCCTTGAGGGGCTCGTCTGACAGGGGAAACAGTCATGTCAGCCAGTACATTACAGTGCATCCTACCAACACTCTAAGGTGAGGGCAGTGGGCCCCAGAAAGGTAGATAAGGGCCAGACTGAGAAGGTCCTTGTATGTCAAAGCTACATAACTTGATTTTTGTTATCAAATGAGAGGTATCATAATCAGATCTGTTTTTAGAAAAGAGTAGAGCAAAGAGGCCAGACACAGAGAAAATAATCAGAAGGCTGTTTTAAGAGTCCAAATGAGAGATGATGAGGACCTGAACTCTGGCCCTGATCCCTTCCTTGCATTACTACTGCCACACATTTTTAGAATTAATTAAATGCCGCCTTGCACTGTACTCTTAAAGTAGATTTCTACTGCAGTTCTCATCACACTGTAGAAGAAATGGTTGATTTTCTTTCCATAGAGACCATGTCTTATTTGTCCCTATATTACTATACCTAACACAATTCCTGGCATATAGGACACATTCACTATATCTTTATTGAATAAATGAATAAACAGTTATCTCCATTTTAGGTGTTACCTTCCCAACCAGATAAAAGTCTGTGAAGACCAGGAAACTGTGCTTATTCCTCCTTGGTGTTGCCTAGTATAGTGATATGGAGCCCCGGTGCCCAGTGGTTAAGAGCTTGGATGCTAACCAAAAGGTCGGCAGTTCGAATCTACCAGCTCCTCCTTGGAAACCCTATGGGGCAGTTCTACTCTGTCCTATAGGGTCGCTATGAGTCGAGACCAACTCGATGGCAACGGGTTTGGTTTGGTTTTTAGTATAGTGATGAGGGAGCCCTGGTAGTTCAGTGGTTAAAGGCTCAGCTGCTAACTGAAAGGTCAGCGGTTCAAACCCACCAGCTGCTCCACAGGAGAAAGATGTGGCAGTCTGCTTCCATAAAGATTATAGCCTTGGAAACCCTACGGGGCAGTTCTACTCTGTCCTATAGGGTCGTCATGAGTCAGAATTGACTCAGTGGGTTTAGTATTGTGATGACCACACACAGCAGATTCTCAGTTAATAGCCACTGAATTAATTAAACCTGGGAAGTCCTTCAGGTGGTCAGGTTTTCCAGCTTTAAACTCTTATTTTCTAGAATCAAGTTTTAAGTGCAAAAAGAACTGGCTTAGAAAATCACTAATTCTCTGGCAAATCACTGGCACTCACACCCAAGAACAATCATAACCTTCCTCAATAACAATACCTCGCCGATAGCCGCCATCTTGCTGAGGCAGCTCCTTAGGGCTGTGTTGTCGGCCTTCCCAAGGCTTTCGTCTTCTTCCAGGGAAGCCAGGTAGATGAGCGTTTCCCTGCCATATTGCTTACAGGTCTCGGCCAGTGCTGCAGATGCAAGGTGACAGACTTTAAGGCCCTCTGCTCCCCCTGCTTTCATAAATGGGCCCTCACGCCCAGGTACTCACAGTCAGCCGGCTCTGGTGGGGCTCGAAGGCAGGTAGCACTACCGTGAAGAATGGTGTCACCAGTCAAGTGGGCAAGGAGGGTTACTGAACGGAGGAGCCCACTGATATCTGCCAGGAGTTGAAAGGAAAGTTTCTCAGTCCTGGTTGAGGGGTATCACAGGAACCTGCCACTCTTTCCACATTCCAGCCTTTCTGACCTTGCCCAGCCGTCACTAATGCAGACCCTACTTTCCCTTCTCACCTTCTGGGAAGGCCAGATACTGGCTCCAGCTTTTTTCTAGCTGCTCAATACAGCTGGAAACGGACTTGATCCTGGAGAGAAGGTGGTCTGTGAAAGGGAAGACAAGAGACTAAGTCAGAGGATGAGTTCTCAGAGCTGTCTGCATCCTCACTAGTTAAGCCACCTGATGGACGAGCCTACCTAGTGAGTGACCCTGGCCCCGCAGGAGTTGCCCTAAGATGGGTAAGAGAGCAGAGACTGCTGGCTACACAGGTATTGATGTGATGTAAGCGATCTCTTGTTGGAACATCCAAAGCTACGCTTCTGAGCCTATTTGGTCCCTTAGTCAAGAAATAGGGCGACCGCATCCCTAGCCCAGATTCCGCCTCTCCTTTCCTTTCTCATCACTGCCCAGCAAAAACTTTCCTGTTGAGTCTTTCACAGCCCTTTGACTTTAATTACTCTTGAGCCTAGACCCTTGGCTCTAGCAGGCTAATTCATGATCATGTTCTGCACACATCATGGTCTCTGTGCCTCCCATGCATCTGTACATAGGGCTGTGGGACTGTGCAGAGCAGGAGAGCTCAGAGTATGGGCTCCTGAGGCACACTGCCTAGGTGTGACTCCTGGCGCTGCCATTACTAGTGGTGTGATCCCAGGCTGTCTGTACCTGCTTCCTCACCTGAAAAAATGGGAATAACAGTGCTACCTCATGGAGTCACTATGAGGATTAGCCGGGGCAAGGCATGTAAAGCACTTAGAATAGTGCCCGGCACTCAGTACCCAAAAAAATCCAAACCCATTGCCGTCGAGTCAGTGCTGACTCGTGGTGACCCCACGTGTTTCAGAGTAGAACTGTGCTCCATAGGATTTTCATGGCTGTGACTTTTCGGAAGAAGATTGCCAGGCCTTGCCTCTGAGGTGCCTCTGGGTCAGATCAAATTGCCAACTTTTTTGTTAGTAGCCCCGCACGTAACCATTTGTACCACCGTGGGACTCTGGCACACAGTAAGTGCTCAATAAATGTTACCTGTTTTATCATTATTGCCCACTTTCCCTATTTCTTCCTTCAAAGCCCAGTTCATAACATCTCTTTCTCCAAATTTACCCACAACTACGCTGTGTCCTGGCATTTCCTCAGTGAAGTAGGTGCTCAGTGTGCGCCCTCATTTGCAACTGTTGTGTTTCTTTACTGATGGGTCCCCAGCTGAGTAAGCTAAATAGTCCTTGCTGTATACTTCATAAACTGGGACCTTTTTATTTGATAATAAAAAATCAACTTCAGCTGTTCCCTCGCTCTTGCTTCATCTGTCAATGGGACCTCTCATTACTTGGCCAACGCATCCCCTCTGAAAATGAGCTGTCATGAGATGTTTTTATCGTTATGTCCAGGACTGTGCAAACCCTGTGACCAGAGGATGCTGTTCCACCTGCTCTCCTCCAGCAGTCTCTCTGACCTGATTGCTGCTCCACCCGCATGTCCTAAGGGCTCCTGTACACGCTGTGTGGGTCCCTGCTGATACCTGTGGCTGTGCTGCTGGGATTTTTGTGTCTGCCACTCTGTGCTTTATGATGTCTCCCTGGCTGGACTTAAAGCTCACTGGGCCATCTGCTCCTCTTCCTCTGTGCCTTCACAATTTTACCAGAGCTCTGCTTTCATCAGTGTGACCCACTGACTAAAGCTGTAGTTATCACACCTGCTAACAAATCACACCTGGCAGGGTTCTGGAAACTACTGCTGCCCAGATCCTCTCCTACAAGATTCTGGTTTAACTGAGTGAGGGTGGGGCCTGGACATCTGTATTTTTAAATGTTCTCCAGATAATTCTAACATATAGCCAGACTGAGAACCACCGAGCTAAGTGTCACACGGGATTTGGCACCAACTCAAGCTGTAAGGATTCACCAGCTGACAGGGGGATGCTGGAAGGATACCTGCAGATCCGGCACAGCTGATGAGAGTGGGCTCCTCAAGCTGGCTCAGGGCCTCTCGTACCACCCTCTCCGCAGCCATCCTGGACTCAGTTAGAAGCACCTTCCGTTGGTCCTTCACCAGTTGTTCCACAGATTCCTAGGAAGGTCCAGGGAGATGAGAGTCAGCCATACACGTCCACTGAGCCTTGAGCTGCATCCACCTGTGACACAGCTGGGATTCCTGGCATCTTAGCTCAAGTGGGTCTGAATGAGGTCCAATCCAGTTACCTTGACACAGAGAAAAATCCTTTAATTTTCTCCACAGGTGGGTGACACTGACCACAAGGAGGCTATGGGGATGGATCATTGCAACCCAAGTGCATCCCTTTCTGAGAGCGGGCTTCTTACAAGAAAGAGAGCTCTGCTTTCCCTTCCCTGCTCTGTCGGTAACACAGGGCATGCTGGCATTAGGAACTCTGCCTCCAGATGCCTTTGCAATCAGGCCAAAGCCCCTCAGCCCCTTTCACAGCCTCTCTACCTCCACCCACAACCTGAGGCCCATGGCCCATCAGTGGGTCAGGGCCATGTCAGTCCAAGTGGGTCCCCATCACTCACCTGTGTGCTGGACAGTTTGAGCTGGGCGTGTTCCAGCTGCTCCCGAAGAACAGATAATTCCTCATCTCGACATGCTGCGGCACTCATCAGGCTGTCCCGTTCCTTCTCCAGTTCAGTGATCTGGGCGGCCCATTTTGCTTCGGACTGCAGTGGCAAGCACAAGAGAAAAGAGGGAACGCCGGGAGAATTCAACGGTCCCCTTCTCAGAGGTGACCCACCACTTGGCCACAAGCAACAGGAGGTGACATCTCGTTAACCTGCTACTTTCAGTCCCTGAGTACACACTGACTATGGATGGGACCAGCTTGGCTGGATGCTAGGCACTAGCAATACTGAAGCAAGAGGGAAAAGAGCGACGGAAGGAAGAGAGAGGCGCCCAATTACCTGGGCAGAAGTTTCCAGGCTGCCTTGGAGGACATGGAGTTCCTGTTTGTTGGTGGCAAGTTCTTGCTTCAAGCTCTCTAGAACCTCCGTCTGTTCTTGAGTCTGAAATAGAAGAAAAGCAGGATGACTCTGGTCTGGGTGGTGGTTGCAAGGCATAACCAAATACACGAATTCCTCAAGGTATAAATGAAAGATTGGTGCACTCTATTGTATGTACACTGTATTTCAACAAAAAGAGGTGGGACCCCAGAGTATACCAAAATTTTACTTCTGCCTAAGGGGAATGTCAAAGGAGGAATTTGGGGACATTTCCCAAATGTTATGCTTGAGCCTATAGCACTAATTAAAGTAGAACAGGGTCTCCAATCCAGGTAGACCAGCATCTGGTATATTGTTGAATGACACATCTTGAAATGATTCCCTTTCTTTGATTTCTTTGCTAAGTGGTGTTTTCCAAAGAGTGGACTGTGATTCATTTGTAAGAATTCAAAACTAGCATTTTAACAAAATGAAATAAGTAAAGCAAGAAATATCCAAGTGCCTTCACATATTAAGGATAAGTATTCACGGTGAAGCCTTGATTTCCATTCCCCAGTTGCCATCGAGTCAGTTTTGACTGACGATGACCCCATGGATGTCAGAGAACTGTGCTCCATAGGGTTTTCAATGGGTGATTTTTCAGAAGTAGATCACCAGGCCTTTCTTTCAAGGTGTGTCTGGGTGGACTTGAACCTCCAACCAACCTTTCAGTTAGCAGCCAGGGAGTCCTTATTTCCACTAGATGTATTTTTTACTTTGGGTTACAGCCAGAAGTGTGAAAGCCACCACTCTAACTCCAAGGCTTCACCCATCTGACATCTCTCACTAAGCCTCATCCTCTCAGCCTCTGTCTGGCTGTGCATCCTCCCAACACAGTGGGTATTCTCCTGTCTGCAGGTCAGAAAGCCTTTGCTGATTAACCCCACTCAACCTGGGTCTGTTCATTACTTCATGCCCCTAACCCATGTATGCCATTGGTAACCATGTCCTGTATGGTATACATATGGCCTCCCACGGCACAAGAGCGCTGGATAGCATGGACTAATCCACAGAACTGCCTGTGGACAGACAGAAGACAAAGTCTTTTGATCTGTGCAGTGCTCAAGGCCTGCCTCTAACTCGGAGAGACCCCCTCAACCACTTCCTGTTGCATGTCTCCCTCCACTCACCTTCCACTGGGCTTGCTCACTTACACGCTGGAAGGAATCCTCCAGCTCTTTTTTCTCTCTTTCCAAATCCACTTGTGCTTGTCTTGCCACTGATACCTGTTTGGTCACCTCTGCATTCTGTAAGGGAAGAACAATGTCTTGAACGGGCTTATCTCAGGCTTAAAGGACATCGTCCTTCCAGAACAAACGATGACATTCAGACCGTGAGTGCCCTAGAGCTGGACACAGGAATCAGTTTCCTGCCCAGAGGGAAGTGAGAGTAAAGCTATCATCCTCAGATACTCAACTCTCAGGTGTTATACAAAACTAATAAAGGTGGCAGATAATCTAAGTAGGGCTGGTATCTAGGATGAAGCTCAAGATACAGGAGGCAAGGGAGCCTGAAACGCTGTGGTTCCCAAGAAATGGCGGCAGCCCACTAGAAACTGATGGGGCACTGGATCTGGAGAAGCCACAAGGCTGGAGCTGCTGTCCCCCTTGTGCTGTGGGGTCTGCAGGATGGCCAGAGGGGGCTGAGGGTCCTACCTTCCGCAGCAGATCAGCATGGCTCTGAACCAGCTCGCTGTACTTCTCCTTTAGCTTGCTATACCGCTGTTCATTGGCTTGGGCTTTCCCTGTATTGTCAAGGACCAAGGTAAGGAGTCTACCCTGGCTGGAAACCTTGCCGTCCTTCCAATAAGCCAGGGCCCCTAGAATGTCCTCCTCCTTTCTCTCCCTCAAAACCCTACTTAAATAAACTCCTCTGGGAAGTCCTCTTTGTTTAAAAAAAATTCACCTGACGGAAACTGTTCCACTGATTCATGCCTCCTCAGCATTTACTTTTTGAATGTTTTGGGCTTTTATGTGAATTTTTTTCTTAGGCTATCTATCCTGTCTCCCTCTCTTCAGATATACACTCCCAGGGAAGGTTCTCCTCACCATCTCCTATATTCCCGACTCCACGTCTCAGAGCTCTATACCTGGTGGACTGATGACAATCTGCCCTTCTGACTCATGACAAGAGTTGGCATTCCTGACAGCTCCTCTAGAAGGATGCAAGGCCTGGGCTCTGCTGCCCAACCTTCATCCTTAATCCTGAGTCTAAGCGAGACTCTGCACTCCCCGGCCTCCACCCCACCCCCACCACTCACTTTCTATCTCTGTCAAGCTCCGCTGAGCCTTCTCTGTGTCTTCTCGCTTCTTCTTGAGATCATCTAGTTCCGCCCGGAGGAATTCACTGTCATCAGCTGCCTGCTGCCGCAAGTGCTGCTGCTCAGCCAGCTCGGCTTCTAGCTCACTGATGCGGCCCTTCAGCTGCAGCACAGCCCGCTGGCTCTGTGGGAGGCACTGGGGTCACAAGTCCAGTCACCATACTGCCATGGACGGGGTTGGGTGTGCTGGGCCAGGAGAAGCATGTCTCACCAGGTTTCCAGCTTTGACCAAGTAAATGCCTAGGTTTTCCTAACGAGCCAGCGTTCTGGTCATTATGAGTATGAACCCAAACCGCTGGTGAGAGGTCGAGACAGATATGATGGGATGACAGGCAAGACAGGGGAAGGCAGGAGAATTCCAGTCACAGGGTGGCCCAGTAGCAGCAATGGGGAGCTGGAATGAGGAAGGAGCAGATGCTCTGCCTGTCCCCGTAAGTCATCTGACTGGCTATGGGTCTGAGAGGCAGTCATATACAGCACCAGACACTGTAAACAGCCACCAGAGTTACATACCAAACTCTTCCTCTCGCCGGGAAGTGGTCTTTCTCACCACAGCTACACAGCCAGGTGGTGATCACTGTTTTCTCTAAGTATCACAGTGACCCTAGAGCCTAGCTTAAATGCTGCGCTAAAGGCAAATATAATGGAAAGCACTGTAATTGAGACCACAGGAAGAGCAGGTTCTTCTGGCTTTGGCAAGTCTACTAATAAACCCTCCTTAAGATGTGGTCCAACAAATACTTAAGTGAAGTGGATTTTCCATTAAAATCTATCATGCTATGATGAAGCACAAAGGCAGATCAGATCCCAGCCCATACCTCAGTCTTCACGTTTTCCAGCTGTGCCTTCAGCCCACTGATCTCTCTGTACAGTTGCTCAATTAAGTGATCCCTGGGAATAGAAGAACAAGTTTGCCTGCACCGTGCTTCTACCCCTCTCCTTTAACTGTGAGCTGGCAAAGGGACAATTTTTTGAAACTCCATAAATTACACTCTAAGGACTTCAGTGTTACCAGATATTCATCTAATACCCACGGGTCCACAGTTCGCATCATTTGATTTTCTTCTGGGATTAAAGTGACCAACACTGAGGGTGAAGACACTCTTTACCTCTAAAATATCTAAGAAGCACCAGCAACGTTACAAACTACTCTCGGGTAGGTGTTGCTAGTCAGATCACGGTTTAATTTAGTTTCTATACCATCTGTCTAAACCCAACTTGGACTCACTTCTCATCCTTGTTCACACCATTTTGACTGTTGAAAATGAAGGGATCGCTGCTGAATGAGCTGCCAAAAATGTCGTCAAACTTGTTGTCAAATAAATTCTGTGGTGACCAGAAGGGATTGAGAACAAAGTTAGAGATCCAGAGACTTCTTTGTGGGTTAAATGCAGGACATGTCAGGATGGACCCTTTTGGAACCTGGTTCCAACCCACTTATGATGGTTCCTAGGGAACACAAGTCAGGCGTGTTCCATGCTCAGATTGGGAGGTGGCTGAACAATTCTTTGATCCTTCTGACAGAACCTGGGTAAGACCTGATAGGTGGCTGTTTATAGAGTTAGAGCCAAGGAGCCTGTCTCATTCTTGAGACTTGCACTTGGGGGAAAAGGAAGGGCCAAGTTTCTCTCTCAAGTGGTCCTCACCTGCTGGGAGGCATCCATGTCCATGAGGTCATCCTTCTCTAAGACAGGCTCACTGTCCGGGGACGAGGCCTCAGCTGGGATTACCACCACAGGGCTTATGTGCTCTGACAGGGCTGAGGCTCGCAGAAAGTTGGGTGGATTCTGAAGAGGGGAGACATATCCTCAAACATGCCAATCTCCCATGCTCACCTGCCAGGCTCCACTAGCCTCTTAGGAGTACTCAGGGACTCAGCAGCTCGCAGGGGTATGGCTGGGGCATGCTTACCTCAGGCAGTTGAGGGATCTGGATGAGCCGCTTGAAGTACTGTAGGTTGCTGGAGCGGTAGAACAGATCTTTCAACCTAGGGGTGAAGAAGGACCAAAGGGGTGCTGGGTGCCTTTGCCAGCCCCAGGTGGGGGGCAGTGCAGCCACCTAGCTTTCGTACCACCTCCCAGTCTAAAGGCAGACTGTCAAGGAGATGGCCTTCATGTCATGGGATGCAATTATGATGTCACCAGATAAGGATTACTTACAGCCAGTCCTCAATTACCTGGTCGTGAGGGAGAGTAATTCATACTACAAATCGTTTGGAAGAGGTAGATAATCCAAAAACTAATTTCTCTATCAATGTACAATATATGTTGTTGTTTTGCAGATTTAACTTCCTAGGAACGTTTGACTTAGAGTAACATTAAAAGAAATTTACTTTCTCTAAGTATAAACTGGAGTTCCTGGGTGGTGCACACAGTTAATGTGCTCAGCTGCTAACGGAAAAGCTGGAGGTTTGAGTCAACCTAGAGCCTCCTCAGAAGAAAGGCCTGGCAACCTATTTCTGAAAAAAATCAGCCACCTAAAACTCTACGGAGCACAGTTCTACTCTGACACACATGGGGTTGCCAGGAGTCAGAGTCAATGTGATGACGACTGGTAACTTAGTATAAGCCAACTGACCACAGGGAAGGGGGAGGGAACATAATTGCTGAGGTAGATCTCTTTTTAATTAGTCTTGTTTTAGAGCTATGTGCTATCTCCCTAATTAGACCGTAAGCTTCTTGAGGCAGGGACTGAGGCCTGCTGAGCTGGATTTACCATAGGGCCAGGCACAGAGGAGTCACTCAATAGATATCTGTGGGAGAAAAACTATCTTTACTGTGTCCTAGTCTTAGATGAATATGGGCATAAAGAAGTCAAAATTTTTTCCATGCCCCAATCTTCATTTGGAATCTAAACTCTGAGTGCCAAGAAGGCCTAGAGCATCTGGACCTATATGTTCTGAGAGGAAAGAGGATCATAGAGCTTAGCACCTTCTACCTGCAACACAGAACTTTCTCACGCTCAGCCCAACAGACTAAACCCCTGGGGTCTCATGATAGGCTTTCGGGCCCCAAGAGCTACACCTGTTGCTGTGACTTCAGCGCTGCCACCCCTGGATTCAAGGGCAGTGAGGGCTCAGGGAGTGGCCAGGCCCGTGGGGAAGAGGAAGTGAGGTGGCTACTCAGTGGAGATGCTGTTTCCGTAAGCCAGAAAAAACGGAAAGGCAATAAAATCACTGACCATGCGGCTCCTTCTTTCTGGGATAGAGCCAACAATAATAAGCTCTACTGCTTTCACAAGCTACTGGAATTTAACATTCCAGGAAACCAGCCCCAGGGCTGTCTCCTAGGGTTTAATAAGTCATTTATTACAGAATACATACCCGGCTTCTCAAAGGAAACAACGAAACCAGGTTAGTACAGCCCTGAACGTGTCTTCTGATTGCTGCTGGGGAACCAGCCAGAGAAGCCTAAGCTCCAGGTTTCAGGAGCTATGGTTTCCCCATCACCAAGGGTGAAGACATTAACAGGAGAGAAAAGGAGGCCAGAGAATACGGTGCTACACCAGGAGGCCCTTCTCATTGGCCTCCACACACCCATCTCTTACCCCACTTCATCCCTTCCTCTTGGGCATATTTACTCAAATATGCACGAGCTGTACTTCCCATCTAGTCACCAACTATTCTCCCCCAAATTCACTGTAGTAATTAACCCCCCAGCCAGCCAAGCTCTTCCTCTCCTAGACTAGATAGCTGCTCATTGGCTCGTTCATTTGTTCAAACATTTATTGAGCACTATATGCTTAATTAACAGTGATGTTCCAGGTGCGAGGGATATAATGATGTGCAAGACAGACAAACAAAAATAAAGCTGCACTCTGAAATATGAAAGAAATAAGCAGGGTGCTGTGATAGAGGAGATGGGGGTGTGGCAGGGATGGAGATGGAGAAGATACTACTTAAATGAGGTGGCCAGAGACTGCCTCTCTGAGGAGGTGACAAAGACTGCCTCTTCTGGAGCTGACTCAGCTGGGAGAAGAGCATCCCAGGCAGAGGGACCACAGCACAAAGGCTCTGATTGTGGAACGCGCTGGGTATGTTCTGGAAACTGAAAGAAGACCTTGTGTGGCTGAGACACTGTGAGCGACCGAGATGAGGTAAGAGAGGAGAGGCAGGAGCCAGTTCATGCAGGACCTCGTAGGCCATGGAGAAGTGCCTGGGTCTTATTGTAAGGGTAATCAGAAGCCATTAAAAGGTCTTGTGTGAAGCATCTATGTTTTTACAATGCTGTTTGGTCTGCTGTGTGAAGACTGTATTGTAGGGGCTGGAGGGGAGCCCAGGGGGGCCAGTCAGTGTTGTGGTAGCCTGACAAGCAGCGACGGTGGCTGAAGAGATGGAAATGTGGGCAGAGCCAGACAGATGTGTAGAGGATCAAGGGAACCTGCTAATGGATTGGACATGTGGCAGAGGAAGCGGCAAATTCCAGATCTCTGGCCTAACTGGACGGTAGCAGTTTTTATAGAGACAGAAAAGTCTGGGGAGAAAAAGTGTTCTGGGGGAAAACTTAGAGTTCAATTTGAGATATAAGCCTCGTGTAGAGATGTCAAATAGACAAGTGGGTATGTGAAACAGGGATTTAGAGTAAGGTTCAGCCAGAGATACATGTTTGGGAGCTGTCAGCACATAAATGGCATAAGACCATGAGAACTTAGGGAGAGGGGAAAAAAAGATGAAGCCCTGGGCATAAAGCAGGTGGTAATGAACAAAATCTCATTCTTCTATGTGGTTCTGTGGGGTTCTTTAGAGAACCGATAGCTTCCCCAGGCATTGGTCAGTCTATGCCACTGTCCTAGCTACCTCACCTCACTTTGAAGCCTTCAAATGCAGACACCTTCACCCTTCAAGTATTAGCCCTTGCATGGATTAACTGATTTTATAACATTCTTTGATTCGCTTTCATTCTTATCACTTAAGCCACTCACTTTGTGAACTGCTCCATGAAGCGGTCCCGGTGGCCCTGCAGGGTGTCGGCTGGGAGACCTGGAAGAATTGGAAGAGCGTGAGCAGGGAGGAGGACCAGACAGCAAGCGGGCCACAGCAGGGCTCAGGAGGGAGGAGTCAGTCTGATCAGGGCATGCAGCCAGTCCTGGCCAGGAGCTGCTGAGGACTGGTGACCAAGGGAGCCCAGCAGGGCAAGGGCAGAACACATGCTCTGCGGCCGTGCTGCCAGCAGGGAGTCTGGGAGGAGAGGCCGGTGGCAGAAGCGCTTATCCTCCACTGCTTCTGAGGCGCCAGTCATTCCAGGCTTGGTGAGATGAAGCTGTTATCCCTGACCAGCAAGCACCAGCGACCTGGCCAAGTACGAGGAACAAACACAGCAGGCCCTGGGGGGCAGTTCTCTCCCGGGTATGGTATGTGCTTGCTCTAGAGTGAAACCAGTGCTGCTGCGCACCTGGAAGAGAGCCATGGATCCTGCCTGAAAGGATGCCTGGCAGAAGGCAGAGAATATGGGGCTGAGACTCAGGGGATCTCGGTTCTGTTTTCTGCCTGACCACTAATTCACTCGAGGACCTGGATGAACAGCAGCCTCCATGGGAAAGCCTCCTCACTGACAGAGTGGGCTCTCTGAGGTCCTTTCAGATGGTGTGGTTCTGAGCATTTCAGCTACAGATCACAGCCCAATAATCCTTTTATTTTTTGTTTATGGCTTACATTTTAGTTATTTTTCAATGAGTAATTTGGTCTAAATAGGTAGTACAACTTTAAGATACTATATTTTGAAAGAACAAAAGTATAAAATGGATGAAAATGGTACTTTACCTCTATGATCTTCCTCCCAAGAACCCATAACCCCAGTCTAATCATGAGAAAAACATGAGAAAAACATCAGACAAATCCCAGTTGAGACATTCTACAATATACCTGGACCAGTCTTCCTCAAAACTGTCAAGGTCATCAAAAACAAGGAAAGGCTATGAGAAACTGTCATAGCCAAGAGTGGTCTAAGGAGACATGAGAACTAAATGGAACGTGGCATCCTGGGTGGGATGCCAAGACATTAGGTAAACGCTGTGGAAATCATATGGACTTTACTTAATAATAATGTGTCAGTACTGGTTCATCAGTTGTGACAAGTGTGTCGTGGTAAGATATTAACAATAGAAGAAACTGGGTTGAGGGAGTAGTATATGGGAACTCTCCGTGCAATGTCTACAACTTTTCTGTAAATCTAAAACTATTCTGAAATTAAAAGTTTGTTTTTTAAATAGTAGACTGTATAAAGTATCTCTCTTACCCTTTCCTCAGCTACACAGTTGCCCTGCCCAGAGGCCACCATGTGGGCCTTATGCACTGCAGAAGGCCTTTACACCTAAACACGGACTTAACATCCTCCTTCTTCTCACAACTCACCACTTCATAAGAAGGAAACGGATATATTCTACTAGGCAAGCTAGGTTCCATAGTATCTTAGAAACAATTACAAGTCCACCTGTATTCAGAGCTTCTAAATAACTGCCTCCCTTCTCCTTTCGGGATTTTGTCTGCCCTCTCTATTTCCTTCAGGCATGCTCACTTACTCCAAAGCCTTTCTTTAAATGTTGAACAGCAAATTCCAACCTCCCCTCCACAAAGCTACCTAGATTAATTAGAATGGTGCTGCTTCCCTTGCCTTGCTAAATAACCCATCTCACTCTTTGTCAATGAGCACAGTTAGAGACTCTCTTGGCCTATACTTCTAAGACACATCCTTGTCCTTCCTGTGTCATAATACTTTGCTAGCATCCATTCATGCCTTGATTTTTCTTCATCACATACTGCGTATGTGTATATCCTTCATGGTGGCTGCCTTACAGTCTGGCCCAGGAACCACCTACATCCTATTGATCTAAGCATTGTAAAATGCAGACCCTAAACCCTAGCAGACCTACTTACACATGCGCTGCAGGAGTAGGGCTCAGGCACATCATTTTAAACAACAAGCACACAAAAGTGTAAGAACTTCTTCTGCAAGACTTATGGTTTTAAAAATATGTTCTGCTAAGAACCCTGGTGGCACAGTGGTTAAGAGCTACAGCTGCTAACCAAAAGGTCGGGAGTTCGAATTCACCAGCTGCTTCTTGGAAACCCTATGTGGCAGTTCTACTCTGTCCTATAGAGTCGCTATGAGTTGGAATTGACTCAATGGCAACAGGATTTTTTGATTTTAAGAAACCCTAGGGGCCTGCAGCCGGGAAAGCGACGGCCCTCCATGGACTGAACAGCTCTGATTTATATTTGCTATTTCTCCATAAAATCCCATTTGCACAAGGGCATTGTGTTGGTGAATAGTCTGGAAACCACTGTCCTAAGTCATGTGGTGCTAGGGCAGGAACCAAGTCTGTTCTTATTTCTGTGGTTCCCAGACTACATCATGTACTTGATAAGTGTGTTTGTGTGGAATGGTGTGGTTATAAAGCCAGAGGCCGAAGGAGAGGAACCATCCTGGGACACTACTGTGAGAAGCCAGATGCTCTTCTATTCGCAAGACAGCTAGGAGCTCAAGGACCACTTGGAACAGAAGCAGAAAGCCAAGGGCACTGAGAGGCACTGCATTTCTCCAGGGACAGCCTCAGGCTGTGACCCTTCCACCGGCCTGAAGCTCACAGGGAAAGCCCCAGTCCAGCGTACTCACAGGAGTGGAGTTTGAAGAGAAGCTTGACAGTGTAGTCATAGAGGTGGCTGCAGTCCAGTATGACCTGGATTAGTGGGGCAAGGCGGCACTGCCCAGCTGTTGTTACTGACACGGAGCGGGACATGTCCAAAGAGCTGAACACTAGGGGAAAAAAAGAGGGGAAATGAGAGGCAGTAGAGTTAAGAAATTACAGGTGACCTTCTCAGAGGAGCAGAAGGAAGAGATCCAATATACACAGAGGACCTACTCCATACCTACATTACCTAATGCAATTCATTTAACTCTTAAAACACCCTATGGGATAGGTAAAGGTATCCCTGTTATACAGGTGAGGAAATTGAAGGTAAGTAACTTGAAGGAGGTGACAAAACCAAGAAATGGTTTTGCTGAGAGGTGGCGAGTTAGAAGATGGACAGCCCACGTGGCCAGTGACAGCCAGATCAGGAGCCTTTCCTCTTGATGGTTAACACGCTTGGTGTGTCATGAACCAGTAACAGGCTCTACTTTAAGCAGAGCCTGGTGGCAGCCTAGGATAGGGGATTTGCTCACAGCCTTGGGGGAGCTCTCAGAATGGAAGAGGATCAGTTCCTTCCTGTCTTTGAGGAGCTTCACAGTCCCTGCCCCCAGTCTGATCAGTTACATAGCACATAATCTTTTAGCATTTCTGAGTTAACAGGGAGATGGCTTATTGTTCAAGGGGAGCTCTCAGTTTTAAGGGGAATCAGAATTTCAGAAGTGAAATTCCCTCTCACACATGAAATCAGTCTGATGGTAATCTGTGACTCAGTGAAGCACCAAATCTAGTGGTGGCAACAGTTACATGGGGGAAAATATCGAACATTGATAAGAAAATGAATAAAGGAAGACTTCAGCCTTGGACTTCTGGTAGCTTACTAGTCAAGATATCATCACTGACCACAGGGCTCTTGAGACACCTGAAGCCAGGCTGTTTAGGAGCCCTGGGTGAAGAACCTACCAGGGCAAAGGCAAGGGGCTGACAGCAGGACAAACCATCAGGATCCAAGTCCCAGAGGAAGCCAACGTGAGTGCCACCCTCTGTTCTCCCAAGTTCCAAAGAAGTTTCTCCCTCAATTTCTTGCCCGAGATCCCCCACATTAACTCCCTGCCCCAAATCCTAGACCAGCTCCTGGCCCAAGCAAATGGATGCCTGGCTGTAGACCCTCGACTTACACTGGTCTAGGCTGATTTTCCTTGCTGCACTGGCTGCCCACTGCCTCTGGAGACTCCATACACAGCCAGGAGTGAAAAGACTTTCTGTAGTCCTGGCTAAGCTGAACGGTCCCCAGAGGAAAGCCCAGAGTTGCGTGCTCCACCTCTCCTGATTGCTCTAATACCTGCTAACTGGGTTAGTCTGGCAGCTGAAAAAATCCCAAACTGTTCTAATTAAAAGGCTGCTTTCCTGCTTGATGCAAATTAAAAGCAGCTGTCACAGGAAGGCGGCATCCCCTAAGCCTACTAGCTTCCTCAGGCTCCTCTCTGGCAAGGACTCACAGACTGCTCCCTCTCCCAGCACGCCCTCGGCTTCCCCACGGCCTTCCAGGAACGGCCTCGTGGCATATGGTAACATCTAGAAGAGTGTGACTGTGGACATGTTACTCCATCTCTTTGTCTCTGAGTCCTCTCCTGTAAAATGCAGAGGATTCTGATAGTACATAAGGGTCTTGTAAAAATGAAATGGGAATTTGTGTCAAGTACATAGCATTGTGCAGTAGTTCCCAACTTTGGCTTTGAGATTGATTAGCATCACCCGGGGAAACTTAAAAACTACTGCCTGCCAAGAAACCTCCACCCCACTGTAGATTGCTGAGCCCCACACCCAGAAATTCTGATCCAGTAAATCTGGGGTGGGGTCCCTGGGTGTTGCAAAAGGTTAACTTGCTTGGCTGCTAACCCAAAGGCTGGAAATCTGAGTCTACCCAGAGTTGCCTCTGAAAAAAGGCCTGGCATTCTACTTCTGAAAAAACAGCCATTGTAAACCCTGTGGAGCACAGTTCTACTCTGACACACATGGGATGGCTACGAGTTGTAACTAACTCGATGGCAACTGGGTTCTTTTTTAGGTTTGGGGTAGGGCCCAAGAATTTGCATTTCTAACCAGTTTCCAGGTAACACTGATGTTGCTGGTCTGGGAACCACACTTCGAGAACCATTATAAGTGTTCCAAATAAATGTTAACTGTAGTTTGCCCCTATGTTTCCCAAAGCAATGAAAGCCAGGCTGTGACTTCCTTCCAAGGATACTGGTCAGAACCTTCTAGGGTCACAAGTAGAACTTAAAAGCCAGGGAGACTGGCTCAAGAGAGTTTTATTGCAACTGGAGTGGTGACTTAGGCACGGTTTTATTTATCTTACTGTACTTTAGATGAAGGTTTACAGAACAAACTAGCTTCTTATTCAACAGTTAATACACATATTATTTTATGACACTGGTTAACAACCCGACAACATGTCAACACTCTCCTTTCTCAACCTTGGGTTCCCTATTGCCAGCTTTCCTGTCCCCTCCTGCCTTCTTGTCCTTGTCCTTGGGCTGGTGTGCCTCTTTAGTCTCATTTTGTTTTATTGTCCTGTCTAATCTTTGGCTGAAGGGTGAACCTTGGGAATGACTTCATTACTGAGCTAAAAGGGTGTCCAGGGGCCATACTCTCGGGGTTTCTCCAGCCTCTGTCAGGCCAGTAAGTTTGGTCTTTTTTGTTAGAATTTTGTTCTACATTTTTCTCCAGCTCTGTCTGGGACCCTCTATTGTGATCCCTGTCAGAGCAGTCAGTGGTGGTAGCCGGGCACCATCTAGTTGTACTGGACTCAGTCTGGCGGAGGCCATAGTAGTTGTGGTCTATTAGTCCTTTGGACTAATCTTTTCCCCTGTATCTTTAGTTTTCTTCATTTTCCCTTGCTCCTGAAGGGGTGAGACCAGTGGAGTATCTCAGATGGCCGCTCACAGGCTTTTTAAGACCCTAGATGCTACTCACCGAAGTAGAATGTAGAACATCTTCTTTATAAACTATGTTATGCCAATTGAGCTAGATGTTCCCTGAGACCATGGTCCACACAGCCCTCAGCCCAGCAATTTGGTCCCTCAGGGAGTTTGGATGTGTCTATGGAGCTTCCATGACCTTGCCTTGGACAAGTTGTGCTGACTTCCCCAGTATTGCATACTGTCTTACCCTTCACCAAAGTTACCACTTATCTATTGTCTATTTAGTGTTTTTCTATCCCCACCCCTCTCCTCCCTCGTAACCATCAAAGGTTGTTTCTTTTTGTGTGTAAACCTTTTCATGAATTTTTATAGTAGTGGTCTCATAAAATACTTGTCCTTTTGTGATTGACTTATTTCACTCAACATAATGCCCTCCAGATACATCCATGTTGTGAGATGCTTCTTGGATTCATCATTGTTCTTTATTGTTCCGTATTCCATTGTGTGTAGGTACCATACATAGTTTGTTTATCCATTCATCTCCTGATGGGCATCTAGGTTGTTTCCATCTTTTTGCTACTGTGAACGATGCTGCCATGAACATGGGTGTGCATACGTCTATTCACAGGACAACTCTTATTTCTCTAGGATATATTCCTAGGAGTGGGTCATATGGTATTTCTATTTCTAGCTTTCTAAGGAAATGCCATATCATTTTCCTAAATGGTTGTATCATTTTGCACTCCCACCAGCAGTGCATAAGAGTTCCAATCTTCCTGCAGCCTAACATTTGTTATTTTCTGTTTGATTCGTGCCAGTAATGCCAGGGTGAGATGGTATCTCATTATGGTTTTAATTTGCCTTTCTCTAATGGCCAGTGATCGCAAGCATTTCCTCATTTGTCTGTCAGTCGCTTGAATCTCTTCTTTGGTGAAGTGTTCATTTCCTTTGCCTATTTTTTAATTGGATTATTTGTCTTTTTGTTCTAGAGGTGCTGGATTTTCCTGTAGATTTTAGAGCTTAGACTTTGTCTGATCTGTAATAGCCAACTTTTTTTTTCTAGTCTGTAGGTGCTATTTTTACGCTTTTGGTGAAGTCTTTTGATTAATTTTTAGAAGATCCCAGTTATCTAGCTTATCTTCTGGAGTTTGTGTATTGTTATGTTAGTTATGGTCTGTATCCTGTTAATGCTGTGTTTTAGGGACTCTAGTGTTGATCCTGTTTCTTCTTCTATGATCTTTATAGTTTTTGGTTTTATATTTAGGTCTTTGATCCATTTTGAATTAGTTTTTGTGTACTGTGTGAAGTATGGGTCCTGTTTGATTTTTTTACAGATGGACATCCAGTTATGCCAGCATCATTTGTTAAAAAGATTGTCTTTTCCCCATCTGTTGAACTCTGGGTCCTTGTCGAAGATCAGGTGACCGTAGGTGGATGGATTTACATTTGGGTTCTCAATTCTGTTCCATTGGTCAATGTATCTGTCATACATTGTATCAGTGTCATACAATGTATCAGTACTAGGTGTCTGTATAGTAGGTTCTGAGGTCAGGTAGTGCGAGTCCTCCTACTTTGTTCTTCCTCTTCAATAATGCTTTACTTATCCAGAGCCTCTTCCCTTTCCATATAAAGTTAATGATTAGTTTCTCCATCTCTTTAAAGAATGTTGTTGGTATGTGGATTGGGATCGCATTGTACTTGTAGATTGCTTCGGGTAGAATTGTCATTTTCACAAAGTTGAGCCTACCTATCCATGAGCATGGTATGTTTTTCCATTTGCAGTAGCGTTTTGTAGTTTTCTTTGTATAGGTCTTTTACATCCCTGGTTAAGATTTATTCCTAAGTATTTTATTTTTTTTAGGGGCTATTATAAATGGTATTGTTTTCCTGATTTCTGTTTCATTGTTCTCTTTATTGGTGTATAGGAATCCAACTGACTTTTGTATGTTTATCTCATATCCTTGTGGTGTAGTGGTTAAGTGCTAAGGTTGCTAACCAAAAGGTCAGCAGTTCGAATCCACCAGGCGCTCCTTAGAAACTCTATGGGGAGGCTCTACTCTGTCGTATAGGGTCGCTATGAGTCGGAATCGACTCGATGGCAATGGGTATCTTGTATCCTGCTACTCTGCTGAATCTTTCTATTAGTTCCAGTAGTTTTATCGTGGAGTCTTTTGGGTTTTCTAGGTATAGTATCATATCATCTGCAAATAGGGACAGTTTTACTTCTTCATTACCAGTTTGGATGCCCTTTGTTTTTCTTGCCTTATTGCTCTAGCTATGACTTCCAGTACAATATTAAATAGGAGTGATAAAGGGAAATTTCCCTTCTATACTTATTTTATTGAGAGTTTTTATCAGGAATGGGTGTTGGACTTTGTCAAATGTTAGGGATGTTTTAGATGGTGAATAGGCCCTTCTTAAAGCTGTTTTTCCAACACCAGCTCTCTTGATTTTTATGGTACTCAGATGTAGACAGTGGGGGCATGGAGGAGGGAATGTAGTAGAGGGTCTTGACTCCAAATCAGTGCTTTCTCAGGGATGAGACTATAGAGGGATTTGTGCAAAGATTTGGGGTTTAAACAAGGGTAGCTCTACTCTAGAAGGCTCTAAGTAAGTAATTCACCCCAGGTATCCCTGCAGCAATAAGCTGGATGTTGACACTATTTTATGGATTCTGTTCACCTGTTATTTCTTCATTGCTGCTTATCTAAAGCAAGTGCTTTCCAATTTTCATTGTTGTTGCTAAGCACTTGTTATATACTAGACACTGGACAGCCCAGAGGGGATTCAAAGATGAGTAGGACACAGTTTCTGATTTTGAAGTGGAGCTCAGCATCTAGTGGTAATAATGTAAGCGAATAACACAAAACAGGTGCAGGAACAAAAAAAAAAGACTGACACTCAGGGTGGGGAGCCTTAGCTGCCATCGTGTATGCATCCTCTCAGCCTCCTCAAGCCCTTCTTGATGCTAGCACCATCTCTGCTTAATCTTATTCCAACAGTCCTCAGGGGCTGGAAGGGACAGCCTCAGAGGTTGAATGTTTGACTTGTTTTCCCCTAGCTTTTGTAGTGGTGGTCGGGGGCATCAGGCTCCGAGAAGGAGGCCACAGCTTCTGGGAGAGGGCTTGGATCTGCTGAGCAGCAACTTCTAGCTGGACTTTCCCAAGTATGACGATTCCTAGACTATCACTCACACCTGCATTCAAATTCACCACATTCCAAAGCTAAATGTAAATAAATTCTAAATTATCCATAGTTCCCTCCATCCCTCCATTAGTTAAATAATTGAAAGTTGGCCACAACAATGTACAGTAGTGTATATACTTTTCAGTAAACATTTCTAATGCATTAAACAAACCAAAAAAAAAAAAAGGTCTACATGATTTCTCTCACCTGACTAGGAATGCCTTAGGGCAAGGACTGTATTCTGTGTTTCATTTTTTACTTCTCTACCGATTTAACTGATAAGCCCTACTCAAATATTTTGCTAGTAGCCTTAGTACCTTCTGCTTCCTCCCATAAACCATGGTTTCTAACTGTTTCTGGGTGTCTCTCTGATCACATTCTGGATTGAACTGATAGGTCAAGGTATTAAGGAATTTGCCGCTTGATCCGAGGCCCAGTACAGCACTGGAACAGTAGTAGGTCAGTAGTAAGTACTTGTTGGAATCTCTGGGTGGTGCAAACGGTTAATGCATCCGGCTGCTAATCAAAAGGTTCAAGTCTACCCAGAGGCAACTTGAAAGAAAGGCTTGGTGATCTACACTTCCACAAAATCAGCCACTGAAAACCCTAGGGAGCACAGTTCTACTCTGAGGTGGGTTCACCATGAGTTGGAATTGACTGACAGCACCTGTTTTTATTTTTAAGTATTTGCTACACGGATGAATACATCAAAACCCCGAAAACAAACCCATTGCTGTTGAGTCGATGCTGACTCACAGCAACCCTACAGGACAGAGTAGAACTGCCTCATAGGGTTTTCAAGGAGCGGCTGGTGGATTCAAACTCCTGACCTTTTGTTTAGCAGCCCGAGCTCTTAACCACTTCACCACCAGGGCTCCGAATACGTCAAAGGAAGTTATAATTTAGGGAAGGAAATTATAATTTAGGATGAGAGAGTCTCTGTTTTATGACGGTTAAAGCCCCAAGGGTGAACCCTATATGTCCACATGCTGAGAAGCCACCCGGACAGTGCATGAATACCTCCAGTGTAGAACTTACTCTTTCAGAGCTGTATACTCATTGTGGAACAACGTGAATCTTAAAAAATTGGCTCTTACATTCCTAGAGAAAGAGAAGGAGCCAGGCTGGGAGGTGTGGGGAGATTCTGAGAGAAGGGAACTGGCTGCTTCCTTCCTAAGGCTTGTCAGAGAAGTGCTAGGGGCTGATAGCCTGGAGGCACCAGCACTCCCAGCAGAAGGGAGGTCAGAAGTGTCCTCCTGAGAGCAGAGCAGGACTTCATGGCTTCACATATAGACTTGGGTAACACCCCAGCTCAACCAGCTTTCTCCCATGGCTGTCAAGCAAACAGCAGACAAGAGCCTGTCCTTCTGAGCAGAAATCAGTCCTGAGTGTGGGCCCAGCTCCAAGTAGCAGACAGGGCTGTGCCAAAGGACCAGCAATGGTCTGACAGCTGTCAGAGGTTTGGCCTGCCTTCAGGCTCTCAGAGGCCTAGGCTTTAGGAGGTGGCCAGCAGGGTCTTTCTGCTCAGACATGAACTCACTGGCTCTCAAAAAAAAAAAAACCCGAGAGCTTCAGCCCCTTCCCAGGATGAGAAACTGAGAGCAGAGACAAGGGTGTGGAAAGCTCCACTTTCCTGCCCCTTGTGCTGCAAAATCTGTAGGGAGGGGGAGGCTAGGCTGACTGGTCAAAGCAGGGAAAACAGGCTGTCAATTAGGCAATTCCCATGAGAGCCTGGGCCGGATGGGAGGGAAAGAAACTCACCAGTTTGGAAGAGGTTTAGCTCACACTCCAGATAGTCAAACATCTCCACTGTTAACTGAAAACTGGACCCGAGAGGAAAGAAAGCATAATTATACTCCACAGCCAAAGGCCAGTCTTACTTGTCCCCCCTCAGGCTCTGTACCGTGCTTCCAACCCCCAATGCACACACATGCGTGCATGCGCGCACACACACATACATACACACACACCTCCTGGCTCCAATTCCTAGCCCCCGCTTAAGGAGGTATGAAGGGTATTGAAGCCATTTGAAGATTGAAGAGGGTGAAGAGTCAACAGTGACAGAGCACAAGGAGAGAACAGACAACCAGGGTTGGGCTGGGAGGGTGACAGGTAAAACAGAGAGGAAGACTTCGGTGTGAGACAGCCTGGTCGGGGTTCCGGACGAGGCATAGACAGTAAGTGGGCCAAGACACGCAGGGGCTTCAGTCCCCACCCCTGTCACTCCTCCTACCATCAGGCCCTCTATGACCCTAATTAATGGGAAGTGATGGCATCTACCAAAGCTTCTTCCCCCACGGGGTCCAGAGCATGAGGATAGCCACTTACAAGTTATTAACGTCACTTTCTCCTGCCTCATCCAGTTGTCGGTCACTCATCTGGAGGTTGCCTGGGAACCTGGGATTCTGAAAGGGAGGCAGAGGAAGGCAGTCAGAATAGAATGCCTCAGGAGCTCTTTATATAGCCCAACTAAGCCAACATCCGGCAAGCAATCTGCAGTGAGCCTGGGCGGTAGCTGGCTTGATTTTGCTTGTGCAGCAGCATGTTCTTGTACAGGCTCCCGTTCTCTTCCCAGGAAGATGGTATCAGCTCCTCTTGGCTGAAAGCACATAGCCTCACATACATACAGACCCCTTCACTGGCTCAGAGCAAAGAATATCCATGCTCCATCATCAAAAGTGAAGGCTCCAGCCCATTCCTCAGAGCCAGGAGAGGGCTTCTCCCTTACCATCTGTGGCCTAGAACATTCTTCTAAAGATGCTCTCATGTGGTACAATGAAACACAGCATATGAGCGGTTGGCCCTCACTTATCCTTAATACATTCTGAATCCTACTCTGGCTTCCTGCTGTCCTTTGGCCGTTTCCCCAAGCGGCTGGTGTGAGTCCAGGGAAGGCAAACCCATTCCCCTATTAACTTTAGTAAAACATAATTAGCAAAATAAACTTGATAGTAGGAGAATATTATATAAATCAAGAGAAATTATTTTGCATCACCAGTCATTGTGGAGTATCTGAATCATTCTCTCTTCATCAGTGTGGCTTGTCTAGAGCTGGTGGAACACTGGCAACAGGGAACAACAGAGAGGAGCCACAGACAGATGGGTGACCACTTTATTCAATTGGGGCTTCTAAGTCCCAGTGGGAGGTGAGGTGGGAGGGGGGACGTCTGTCGTTTTTGCTCGATCTCATCTCGAAGTCTACAGCAGGGGTTCTCCAAGTGTGGTCCCTGGACCAGCAGCATTTGCTAGAAAAGCAAATTCTCAGGCCCCACCCAAGACCTACTGAATCAGACTGGGGAGGGGACCCAGGGATCTGTGTTTTAATAAGCCCCTTAGGTGATTCTGAACAGGTGGTCAAATAGGAGCAGGAATCATGAAGCCTGGCAACAGCAGGGAACTGCTTGGTGGGCAAGACTGGGAGTGGGGGGAACGGGGGGGTGTAGGGCTACACCTCATGCCTGCCAAGCACCGTGCAGGATGCTACATGTACTTTATTCCTCATACCAGTCCATGGAGCAGAAATAATGACTCCCATTTTAGAATTGAGGAAACTGGGATTTGGTTAAAAGTCAAGTAGGTAAGAGGCTAAACCTGAACTCAGGTCGTTCTAGTTCAAAAATACCATGTTGTTTAGAGGTGCTGATGGAAATACTTATACACTGAGTAATGCAATGTGGACAGGTGCTTGGAGGTGAGAGACAGGGAGCAGGGAGTGGACAGTGAAGGGCCAGCTTAGGGACTTGTGTTAGTTAGGCCAGTCACTGACTCACAAATACAGAATTTCCCTCAGGATACCTTGGCACAGAATCCTGAAGACTTTAAGTTCCTACAGGCTTGCATGCTGTCCAGCATGGGCACTGACGAGTCCTGCTCTGCCTTTATTGGTCCCGTTTTCTCAGTCTGTTGGCCCCTCCTGGCCATCTTTACTTCCTTGCTCTACCTGGACATTACAATTGATGACCTGGTCCCACTCTCATACACCCTGGCCTTACTGGCTGCCTGGCCTTCCACCACCCTACAGATGAAACCTGTTGACGTGGATCCTTTCCACATGCTCTATGCCAAATACCCTGGAGAAGAACTCACAGCTGCCGTTACTATTAATAGTGCTTTCAGCCTTAGCGCACCTGAACAGTCCTTCCTATTGCCCCAACTGGTTCCCCTTTCCAGCAATAACCATTCAACTCTCAAAACTGGTGTCTGATTCCCATGCTGTCACCCTCAGCACACGACTTGCTTCTTACGTCACGGGGAAACAACCTCAGCAACCTGCTTCCCCACTCCTTGCCTGCTGTGAAAGAACCCAGCTGCCCTTCCTTCCCTCTGGCCTTGAAGGCAGAAGAGCCAACGTCTTGCATTATTCAGGATTGACTCCCCCTCGGGTGAAATTAGATTTAGGTTCTGGCTCATCCCTTCGTTCAACAAATCCTGTCTGAACACCTGTTCTGGGCTAGCTTCTGGCCAGACTCAGACGGCAAAAGGAGAACAAGCACACCTGTGCTCTGTCCTCTCAGAGCCCAGAGTCCACAGCACCTGTATCCCTGCTCATCTCAATTTTCAACCTCTGCCCCTCTTCCATTGCCCAAGTCTTTCCCATTGGACCTACAAGTCTATCTAGTGATTGCCCCCCCCACTTCCTTTCCTGCCAGTCTTCACGAAGCTGTCACTCCTTGTCTGTCCCACTGACAATGTCCTAATTCTGGCCCTCATCATCTTCCACACTGACGGCCTAGGTCTCCTCAAATTCACACTTGCGCTGCCTTCAGCAGAACCACCTAAAATGCAGGTCTGACCCATCACTTCTTTACAACTTGATCCTCGATAAAGTACAGAGAGTCCAAGGAGAGTCGAGGCCTCTGTGACATGGACTCATGTCACACTCATCTCAACAGCCTAGTTGCCCACTGCTCTCCACCTTGCCCTCTCCTCACACTAATATGGATCTAGTGATTTGTTGTTGTTGTTGTTTTGTTAGCTGCCGTTGAGTTGACTCTGACTCATGGTGATCCTATGTGTGCAGAGTAGAACTTCTCCACAGAGTTTTCAAGGCTGTGACCTTTCAGAAGTAGGTTGCCAGGCCGGTCTTCCGAGATGCTCGTGGGTGGGTTCGAATTGCCAATCTCAGCTACTAGTCACGTGCTTCACCATTTGTGACACTCAGGGATTCCTCTGTTGTTGCTGATCTATGCCTTTGAGTCAATTCCGACTCATAGCACCCTAGGTACAACAGAAGGAAACACTGCCTAGTCCTGCGCCATCCTCACAATTGTTGCAGCCACTGTGCCAATCCATCTTGTTGAGGGTCTTCCTCTTTTTTGGTGACCTCTATTTCACAAAGCATGATGTCCTTCTCCAGGGACTGATCCCTCCTGGTAACATATCCAAAGTATGTGAGACAAAGTCTCGCCATCCCTGCTTCAAAGGAGCATTCTGGCTGTACTTCTTCCAAGACAGAGTCATTAGTTCTTTTGGTAGTCTGTGGTATATTCAATATTCTTCGCCAACACAATATTTCAAAGGTGTCAATTCTTCTTTGGTTTTCCTTATTCACTGTCTGGCTATCGAATGCATATGAGGTGACTGAAAACGCCATGGCTTGGGTAAAACACACCTTAGTCTTCAAAGTGACATCTTTGCTTTTTAACACTTAAAGAGGTCTTTTGCAGCAGCTTTGCCCAATGTAATACCTCATTTGATTTCTTGACTGCTACTTCCACAGGTGTTGATTGTGGATCCAAGTAAAATGAAATCCTTAACAACTTCAACCTTTTCTCCATTTATCAAGATGTTGCTTATTGTTTCAGTTGTGAAGACTTTTGTTTTCTTTATGTTGAGGTGTAACCCATACTGAAGGCTGTAGTCTTTGATCTTCATCAGTAAGAGCTTCAAGCCCCCTTCACTTTCAGCAAGCAAGGTTGTGTCATCTGCATAACGCAGGTTGTTAATGAGTCTTCCTCCAATCCTGATGCCATGTTCTTCTTCATACAGTCCAGCTTCTCTGATTATTTGCTCAGCATACAGATAAAGTATTGTGAAAGGATACAACCTTGACACACACCTTTCCTAACTTTAAACCACACAGTATCCCCTTGTTCTGTTCGAATGACTGCCTTTTTTATTTAAAAAAATTTTTTCTTTTTTATTGTACTTTAGATGAACGTTTACAGAGCAAACAGTTTCTCATTAAAAGGTCAGTACACATATGGTTTTATGACATTGGTTAACAACCCCACGACATGTCAACACTCTCCCTTCTTGACCTTGGAGGACCTTTTTTTTGGTAAAAATAGACATAACCAAAGTTACACCATTTCAAAAGTTTCTACATGTACAATTCAGTGACATCGATTACATTCTTCCACTTGTGCTGCTATTCTCACTATCCTTTTCCAAAT